ATCAATTTTCTTAATTTTCTTAATTTCATTAATTTCATTAAGCGAAACTATAATAAGAGATTTTTTGCGCATACAAATTCTTCTTTTATCAGAATTCAAATTAAAGAAACTTTCTCTCCACGAAAATGAGAAAATAAAACCGTTTTTATTTATTTTTTTTTTTTTCATGGTGATGAGACTTGAGAGGCAAATTAGAGGGTCAAAAATGTGTAACATTGTACTTTTATTTGCATATTTATACTTTCCCTTTCACTTTCACCTTGATTTTGATTTATTTTGCATTTTTTTTAATTTATGGACTTCCAGGGGTTTTTTTTCGGCAATAACCACACGCAGAAGCATCACTTTCGCATATTGAGAGATAAAAGCGCATGTAATTTTACTTTTACAAGGAAAAGAAATGTTACATATTTTCGAGAAGTGAATAGAGAGAATATGAGTGAGAGAAAGAATTTTTAAGAGGGTAGAAAGTATATTATAATGGTAAGTGCGCGCTTCATCAAGAATGTGAACCTTGAGAATCATCAGATTCATGACAAGCGGATCATCATTCTCAAGGGCATTTATATGTACAGATTGCAGAGAGAAGAAAAAAAAATTATGACTTTAATAAATGTGGAAAAAAAATCACTCCTACCGCATATTTTAAACGTTTTCATCTCGAGAGATGTGAATAGTGTAAGGGCCAAACTGATGAGTATTTTATTGAACATGTGATAATTATTAAATATATCACATCGCAATAAATCCATTGCGGTACGATTTTTGAATCATTCCAGGAAGTGTATTTTATAAAGGTTCTAATAAATTTTATGAGAATAGATTTTTGATTTTTTACTGAAGATGACGAATATATTCTCTAAATCTGAATTAGTCATTATTTTGACTAATGAAATAAATAATTGTATTAGAAACTTAAACTACTTCCAAAAAAATTGAAATTAAAAATTTTCATAAAAAAATTAGTTTGTCAAAATTGTTAATTAAAAGTACTAAAAAAATCAAATTTCCAAAGATTTGAATTTGAAACCTTTACAAAATTCAATTATTTCTAAAAATTGCTATTATTTGTAACTTCTCGTAAAATTTAAATTTTTTTGCATTTTTAATTTAATTTCTTCTCTAAATCAATTGTTTTTAATAATAAATTAAATATATATTAAAAAATCCAACTAATTTGAAAAGAATTTAGATTAATGAAATTTCGTAAAAAAAATAAGTTCTTTAAAATTTTTAAATAGATCCATTCAAATTTCCTTAAATCTTAAATTAAAATCATTTGCAATTGATTTATTTATGAAAATTGTAAAGTGCCTATTTTTGCTGTAACTTCTTTAAAATTAACTATAAAATTCTTCTTTAAATTAATTGTTTTGAATAATTGTTGAAAAAGTTCTTTGAGAATTTTTAAATTCATTTGTTTATCACTGAATTTTACCAAAATTTTGATTATTCGAAAATTCCTCAATTAAATTAGAAATTAGAAAACAAAAACTTATTGAAATAATTTAATAAAGGTTGAATTAAAATTATTTTAAAAAATTAGTTCGCCAAAATTGTTAATTGAAAATATTTAAAAATTCAGATTTACAAAGATTTAAATTTGAAATCTTTTCAAAATTCAATATTATTTCTAAAAATTGCAATTATTTGCTTCTTCTCAAATATTATTTTTTTAAGAGTTTTTAACTAAAATTTTTCTTTAAATAAATTATTTTTAATAATGAAATAGATTCATTCAAATTTCCTTAAATCTTAAATTAAAATCATTTGCAATTGATTTATTTATGAAAATTGTAAAGTGCCTATTTTTGCTGTAATTTCTTTAAAATTAACTATAAAATTCTTCTTTAAATTAATTGTTTTGAATAATTGTTGAAAAAGTTTTTTGAGAATTTTCAAATTCATTTATTTACCATTCAATTTTACGAAATTTTGATTATTCGAAAATTCTTCAATTAAATACTTTATTAAAAAAATAAATACTTGAAATAATAACTTCTGGAAATTATTAATTTTCAAAAATTACAACTTTTATAACCCTTTCAAAATTCAATTATTTTCTACAATTTTGAACCAAGCTTCATCTCTAAATCAATATCTATATTAATTTTTAAAATTAATTTTTTTTAAATAATTCTAAATAATTTCAAAAAGACAATATTTTTACAAATGCAATTAAAAAATATCTAAAAAATTGAAATTTGACAAAATCTTTTCAAAAATAATAATTAAAAATTGATAAAATCTTTTCAAAATAATTGAGTTTTTGAAAAATTTAAAAAAATAATCAAATTTTTGAGGAATTTTAATTAAAAATGATTTATCCGAAATTTTAATAAGTCTAAGAAAGTAAATTTAAAAAAATTTTAATTTACTTTGTTTGAGGGTAATTGAATCTTAAAAAATGATGATAAAACAATTCGAAGAATTAGTTTTCTTTATAAATATTGTAATGTAATTTTTCGAAAATAATTAAATTTCTAAAAATGTTTTTTGCATAATTTAAAAAAAAATTAATGTTTTGAAAAATTTTGAACATGATTTTTATCTCCAAAATATTAAAAATAATTCCAAGATGTTATTATTTTCTTTAATGTATTTGAATTTACGGAAAAAATGTAATCAAAAATATTGAAAATAATTGAATTTTAAAAAATTAAAATTAAAAAAATTCTGAGAATTAGTTTATTCAAAAATATTTTAATATTATTTTTATAATCTAATTTTCATTAATTTTCATTGTTATTAAATTTACACTTGAAGATATAGGTATTTTTTATTAAAATTTTAGAGAATTTTATTATTTTAAAAAGTTTTAATTAAAATTCTTTGAAAGTATTTTTTTCCAAAAATTGTAATGAAATACGTTAAAAAAATGATTTTCAATTAAATTTTACAAAAGTTTAATTATTCAAAATCTTTTTAAGTGTGCATTTCAAAAATTTAATTAGAAAAATTATTCAAAAATAACTTTTCAAAGATTTATCCATAGATATACTTTTTATACTATAAAAATTGAAATAAGAAGCATTTTATACTGAAAACGTGGTATTTTGTTGTAAAAATTTGGTAGAAAAGTCGAAAATGTCGCAATTTTTTAATATAAGTCGAGTATCCGAGGCCTGTATACGTAATTTTTCTTTGAAAGTTAACTTTTGGTCATTTTTTTTTGGAAAAAGATGAAAATTTTAGGCGTTTCCGAACAATCAAACTGATTTTTTTTATTCTATGTTTCCAAACAAATCATTCATTAATACATTATTTTAACCTTTATTAGAGGTCCAGTAAATTTGCACAAATTTTAGTAGGTAGTTTTTTATTTAAAAAAATTTATAAAATTTATTTTTTATTTCACAGTAAAAAAAAAAGTCTTATTTTAAGGCAGGAAAGCAGCCTTAAATTAAAACGCAACATTTTTAAGGCAGTCAATACTGAATTTAAGCAGTGGATTTTGTATGATTTAACATTAGAGCAGACAGTGCTGAATTTAAGACAGATCTTAAATTAAGATTTACTTTTTACTATGTTATATATTTATAAGAAGTTATTCGATAAAAAGTTTCGTCAAAATAAATGGTGGCCACTATACTGGCCACTCTGGGTCCACTAAAGGTTAAAATTTAGCGTAGTCTTCATGAAGTTTTTCGCCTTTGAAATTTGCCTAAATCATCACTAAAATTTCACTGATTAATTAGCGAACAAACGCTTTTTGAAATTAGTCCCATATACTTATCGCTCGGAATCAGTAAAATTTCCCTAATTCAAATTTAAAGCACGCACCAATTTTTCCGTATTCAAACACGAGGAATAAGAAATTATAAAGAATAAGGGAAATTTCAGACATCAATTATTCTAATAAATTACTTGTAAAATAATAATTTGATTTTATATGTGATCGGTAACAGATGTTTTAACACACAAATAACAAGCACTTCATGTCAGTCGACTGATCTTTAATAGGGCATGAAATATGTTCCTCCATGCATATTTACAGAAAGGCACAGAAAGGTCAGAACATTGTTACAAACTGAACATCAAAACAGAAGAATATATATATATATATATGTATATACATGATTGACGCTAATTTATGCGAAATATCTTAACAATGATCTGTCACGACTTAAATTGCTGAGAAATTCGTGATCTTGATATTATAAACTTTATTTATTGATCAAGTTTACTACTAGGTTGCATACACATAATTAGTAGGTGATTTTGCTTGTATGTCGCTGGAACTTTAAACTATAACAATAGCACTCAAGAAGGCTAAAAAGTCAACACAATTTTCTTATGGAGATGTCAAATTCATGTTAAAACAAATTGGATCAAATTGGATCAAAATTGGTGCCAAAAATGTCAAGTAAATTAGAATTTGATCCACATTTTTAGTACATATTCGTTGCAGTTTTTCTGCGAATATCAAATTGAGACAAAAAGCGAATCAAAAGTGTTGTGAGGCAATCGCAACACTTTTGATTCGCTTTTTGTCTCAATTTGACATTCGCAGAAAAACTGTTTGCAAATTTATACTTTTAAGTTGATGGTGAAATTTAAACTAGAAGAGCTATCAATAAATTTAGGGATTTTTAGTTCACATTTTTCAGTCACAGTTTTTTTCTAATTCACACTTTTCTTGAAAGAAATCAAACTGATGCTAAATTGGATCAAAGTGATAAGAAAAATTTGTACCAGTTTATGATTTGATTCACATTTTTGGGTTATTCTTGAAAGAAATCAAATTGGTACTAAAGTGGATCAAATCTTGATAACAATAGTTTGTACCAGTTAATGATTTGATCTGCATTTTTGGGTTATTCTTTAAAGAAATCAAATTGTTACTAAAGTGGATCAAATCTTGATAACATAATAGTTTGTACCAGTTAATGATTTGATCTGCATTTTTGGGTTTCTTGAAAGTGGATCAAAGTGATAACAAAAATTTGTACCAAGTTATGATTTGATTCATATTTTTGGTTTTCTTTAAAGAAATCCAAATGGACACTGAGGTGGATCAAAGTGAACAAAAATTTGTACCAGTTAATGATTTGATCCAAATTTTTGGTTTTCTTGAAAGAAATCCAAATGATAGTAAAGTGGATCAAAGTGATAACAAAAATTTGTAGCAGTTTATGATTTGATCCACATTTTTGGTATCAATTCTTTGCAGTTAGAAAAGTTGCAATTTGAAAATGTGAAATGCAGTGAAAAGTGAATTAAAATGTAGGGAGTGCTTTTCTGTACTATAGACACTGATTACAAAAAATCACTCCGATCCGATCACATTTAAGCAAAAAAAATCCACTCCAACTTTTTAAATTATAAAAGATTTCGTCGAAAAAACAAAAAAAAACAAAACAAAATTTCGAGGAAAAAGTGTTATGAGCGAATCAGCGGAAACAATTTCATTTACGCACCACAGAGATATTACAATTTTCATAAATTAATTACCAAGATATGTAATAATCGCGCGAGAAAAATTTACTTAAATTAAAATGAGTATATGCAGGTAATTAATGGACCTTTAAAACAGACTATCCCATATTTACGCACTTATTAAATGAAATAAGCTTTCAAAAGTAAATTTATTATATCAGAGATTTTTTTCTCCTCATGCAACATGTTTACATCTTCTTTTCACTGAAGCTATCGCACACACAGGGGGGAAAGTTATTATATGCCGAGAATGTAAGAGGCACATGTAATGTGTGATAAAGTGAAAGAAATCGAAATTAAATGTCGAGTTGTGCGTGGATTGAAAATAAAAAATCAAAGTAAAGAAAAAAATGATAATTTAAAAAGGTTGCCTAAGTGATAAGAATTGAAAATTAAAAATTAAAAATCAGAAATCAAGAATTAAAAATCAAAAATCAAGAATTAAGAAGAAGAAGAAGACAACTGGGTGTCAAAAGACTTGACGTGCGGAGCGAAAAGAAGTGAAGTTGACGGCGTTGATGATCATATTGATCTTCGAGGTGGGTACAGCATCTCAAAAAAAAGGGAGGTGGGCAATAGGTGGGTGGGGGTGGATCTTCATGAATCACTACACATTCTCAGGAGGATTCACACGTATATACATGCGCAACATTCAGAGAATGGAAAGGGAAAGATCTGGGCCTTTTGGTATAAATGCTGGGCACTGTTCGTCTTCAGGATGCAGATTCCACCTGACCCAATCTCGTATCCACAATCCGTGGCAAATTTTTTCATAATGCGTACTTTAGTGAGTGTTGCATTCATATCGTTCTATTGTTTTCTATCACAAAAAAAAATACTTGTTTTATTTGTTTCGAATTTTTAAAATAATATTTTTGCTATATATCCCCATTTGAGTGTGTGCAACGTGATATTATTGTTTCGGACAATAGAAAACGCGAGTGTCAAGTTTTGATATTAAATTGCAAAAAAAGAAATTTAATTCTCTTAAATATATAATTATGAAAATTGGAAAAAAATTTAATCTTCATTAATTACAGGGATCACAGTGATTTTTTTATAAAAGAAATATTTATTATATTTATTTATTTATTTAAGAATAATAAAGTTCCTAAGGATAATGAGCCATTCAAGGAACAGATACATTAAAATTTGAATTCAGTTACTTATTCTAATTAAATGTTTTCAATTTTAATTTTCAAAAAAAAGTATTCGCAGTTGAAAACTGAAAAATTTGCAACAAATTGGATAAAAATTATTCTGTTATGTATACAATTTACTTTAAATATTTTTTTTACTTATTCTCCTAATTACAACTTTTTAAAATTTATTCTTAAAAATAAGAGGAAAAGAGAAGAAAATAAATTATTTTAAGTGTTTTAAGGGATTTTATTAATTTAAGGGGATAAAAAAGTGGAAAAAAAGAAAAAAGGGACTAACTGTAATCCCTGTAGTTATAAAAATTAAAAAAAAATTACTCTTCTTTAAAATATAAATTATCAAAAATCAGAAAAATTTTCATATTCAAATTGAAAAATTTAGAATTTTCCCAAAAATTTGAACGTTGAAATAAAAATAATCTTTTGTGTTCCAATGTTTTTAAAAATTACTAGACTGTTAATAAAAAAAACATTGTAATTTAACATTTATTTAGTTAAAAATTAATTTTTTAATATAATTGTTAAAAATTAATTTTTTTTAATATAATTGTTAAAAATCAATTTTTTAATACAATTATTAAAATACAATAATTCGTAATAAAATTGAAATTATAAAAATTCTTTTCGAAGAGAAAAAAATTGGTTTATAATTTAATTATTCATGTGATAAAAGTGAATCTGTGTGATATTTGCAGATTATTGTCTTTGCCGTGATCGGCTGCGCTTTCGCACAATTCGGGGGCTACCGTGGAGCTTATCAGCAGAATCAACAATATTATACAACACCTCAGCCACAATATCAACCCGGGTATCAACAGTCACAATACAAGTAATAAAATTATTTCATATTATATTATTATAAAAAATTTAATTTTCATTAATTTATTGTTTCATTAAATTATAATAAAATTACAAAATATTATTATAAATAGGTTTTTTTTAATAGCTAGAAAATTTTACACTGAAAAAAATTGATTAAATTCAAATAACCGATTATTTTTTTATTATCAAATAAACATTTACTTGAATCGAATAATTTTTATTTGAAGCAAATAAATTTTCTTTAAACAATTCCAAATTGTTTTAAATATAAATTATTATTGATACAAATGACCGATTATTTGTCTATTATCAAATAAATATTTATTTCAATCAACTAATTTTTATTTAAAACAATTTGGAATTTTAGCAAATGGTATTTGCTTTAAATACTAAAATAATTTGCTAATAGAATTCGTTTGACTTAAATCAAAATTATTAAAGTAAAAATTTAAAAATAGAAATTATTAAAGAAAAATTATTAAATTAAAAATTATTAAAATGAAAATGGTTAAATTAAAAATTATTAAAAAATTAAAATAAAAAGTATTAAAATAAAAATTATTAAAATAAAAATTATAAAAATAAAAATTACCAAAAGAAAAATTATTAAATTAAAAATTATTAAAATGAAAATTGTTAAATTAAAAATGATTAAAATACAAATTATTAAAATAAAAATTATAAAAATAAATAAATTAACAAAAGAAAAATTATTAAATTAAAAATTATTAAATTCAAGTAAATATTTATTTGTCAATAGACAAATAATCTATTAGTTAAATAAAATAAATTTTCTTTAGAGTATTCTATTTATTACATAAATTAATTTTCCACTATTCTTTCTGATTTGTCATATCTCAAATTCTTAAGAAATTTTTTCAGAAATTGCTTCCTTCCAATATTAAAAAAAAAACATATTCATTACGTTAAAATGCTTTTATCTTTCAATTAATTATTTATCATGACTAGTCTGGCTCTAAAAATTGTTTCCTAAAAATGAAGGTTGTGAAATTTTGACACTTTAGTGTTTAGTATTATGTTTGCTTTTGAGAGCATAGTAAAATGTAGACAATAAAAAAAAGTGTAAAGTGAATTCCAATGTGTTTAGATTTACACATAAATTATATATTCTTTTCGGCGAATAAAAATTTTTATGTTTTGTAAATATGTAATCCCGAATAATAAAGAGAGAATCCTTTCGGAATTTTTTGCTTTTAAATAATTTGAATTAGTTTTATGAATTTAGAAAAAATGAATAAATATTTTATAAATTTTTATAAATTTTATAAATTTTATAAATAAATATTTTACTTGAAACTGTATTTGATCAAGAAAATATTTAAAGAAAGTTTTGATTTCGCCCAATTTTAATTTTCTGTGTTATCGAAAATAATTTTCCAATTACATAATTTAAGAATAAAATATATACTTTTATTTATCCTATAAATTTGAATTAGTACAAAAATGTTTACTAATTTGAATCAGTGACTGATTTTTTGTTTTCGAATTAGTAAATTTCACTAATAAATAGTAATTTCTACTCATTTTTTAGTAAAATTCAAGTAGTGGAAATCGAGGTGGAAATAAATTAGCAAAGTTTAATTTAAATAGTAAAAAATTACTACTAATTTATTAGTAAAATTTAATTATTAAAATAAAATTAGCAAATTTACTAATAAACAGTAATTTCTACTAATTTATTAGTAAAATTTAATTAGCAAAACTGAAATTAACAAATTTTACTAATAAATAGTAATTTCTGCTATACTATTAGTAAAATTTACTAATTCAAAAGCAAAAAGGCAGTCACTTATTCAAATTAGTAAACATTTTTACTAATTAAAATTTAAAGAGTAGGTACTATTTTATTTAATACTTTATTAATAAAAGAAATGGAAAATTTTACTATACTTTTTTTAGTAATAATTTTTATAACCACTTGGATCTTTTATAAAAAAAATTACTACATTTAATTAACAGACCTTGTTTAATCTATTAAGTTTCCATAAAAATTTGATTCAATCAATTTTTTTCCAATAAATTTAAAAAAAGCTGTTGGTAAAATTAATTAACTTTAGTATTAATAAGTGTATATAAGAAATTAAATATCAGAACAAAAATAAATTATTTAATTCATAATAATTTTGGATTCATGATAAATAATTTTTTTTTCAAGTTCTGGACGACAAATAGGAATTCGTAGCCAATCCCACGATATTTCACCTGACGGTTCGTACACATGGCAATATGAGACCGAAAATGGTATTTCTGCATACGAAACTGGTTCCCCGAAAGCAAGTGGACCAGGAGAAATAGCACAGGTATTTTAAACTCATTTCAATAAATAAAAATGTATTCCACTAATTTTATTACCTTTTAGTAATTAATTAAATAAAAAAGAAACATTGAATAATCAAATTTTACGCACGTTGACGTTTCTCTTTAACTTTTTTTTTGTTTTTTTACGAATTTTATAAAAACCATACAAATTTTTACTTTTTTTTCTATTCTTAGTCATTAATTTCTATTATTGTCAATAAACTTATTTTTTTATAATAATTATTAGTTTTTTTTTTAATAAGTGTCAAATTGATACAAAAAATTTACATTAATTTTTTATTTGATCCAAATTTTTGGTATCAAGGCGGTTGCAATTTGATACTAACAAGTTAACAGTAAATTTTTAATTACATACATTATAGTTGTTTCTAATTAATTTTACTTTTCATAAATTTGTTTTGTATTAATTATTATGGTAGGTGGTCACTTTTTCTAAAAAATATTTTCTAATCCTTTTTATCTAAAAAAAGCAAATTTCTAATGAAATCTGTTTTCTTAAAAATGTTTTTGTAACAAGTTTTAATTTTAAAAATAAGTTTTTCTAAAAAGTTATGATTTCTAATATTTATTTTCCTAAAATTTGTAAAATTCCATAATTTTGATAAAAGTTTAAAAATTGTTAAAAATTAAGATTAAGAAATAGAAAATATTTTGCATATTTCCTGTTTCTCAATCACAATTCTGTTTACAAAATTATAAATTTCTTTTTGAAAAAGAAGAAAAACCAAAATTTCCAAAATTAATTTATTTATGAAATACTTTTTTAGGAAATTTTAAATATCTTTAGAGAAAAAAATCCCTATAATTTCTATTTGTTAATTACGATTTTTAACTCGATTATTTAAAAATTTTGTTAAAAATTTACATAATTTCTATTTTTTATTTTATTTTTTTTTTTAACGAAATTGTTTTTGAGAGAATAAAAAATGTTTGCAAGTAGAAGTGGAAGTTTATAGTCAGACTAACTTGAGGGAACAATTTCTTTAATCGCTTATATCACTGATGAATGAATGCCTTATACAAGAGTATTGTATTTACGTTTTGTTATATTTTTTATATTATTCCATTGAAATTGGAATTTAAATTTACAGTTTTCTAAAGAAAAGTATTAAATTTACACCGAAATGGACCAAACTGATATACCGACTGATAGCAAAAATTTTGATCAATTTGCAAATATTATAAATAATTGCATAATTTATTATAAATGTCAAAAAAAAAATCCAAAAATTTGTATCAATTTATGCATTGATCTATATTTTTGGCATCAATTTTTTGCAATTTGGTACTAACAATTTGACAGTGATTTAAATATTCAAATTTTTTTTTAAACAATCGATTCTCATCTTTTTTGTGATTCTTTAAAAAAAATTTCATTCTTTTTAAACAAAGAAAAATTATGTTATTGACTCAAATATTCTATTTTGTTGCATAAACGTTATTTTTGGGTTTGCTGTTAACTCAAAAGTATCAAATTTCAACGAATTGATAGCAAAAATATGGATTAAATCATAAATTGACCCCAATTTTTAGGAATTGATACCAAAACATTTGGCTTACATTACTAACATTATAACACAGTTTTCTTGAAATAATCAAATTGATGTATTACTTTAATACCAAAATGAGGATCAAGTATTAAATTTGATTTAAATTTTCGTATAAAATTAATACAGTTTAGTATCAATTTGATAATTTTAAGAAAACTGTGAAACATTTGACTTATTGTTAGTTTCATAAATTTTGTGCTATAGTGCTTAAAGAAGGAATTTGGTCCACAGTTTTCTTTAAAGTATCAAATTGGTGCTAAAGTGAATCAAATTGATGCCAAAAATTTGGATCAATTTTTTATTTAATCCACATTTTTGGTATCAATTGGTTGCAATTTGATACTTTTAAGTTAATAGTGTCGCACCTGAAACAAATTTTTAGTTGAAACAAACAATTATTGTTTGGTTGTCTGTATGATAGCAATGGATTTATTTGAGTGATTCAACCAAAATTTGGTGAATGAAGGAATTAAGTGAAATTAGTTAAAATGTTATAACCTTATAACTAAAATTAAGAAAAAATACTTTTCGATGCTCAGCGTTAATGACAACTATTCAGGAACCTAAAAATTACCGATTATATTAAACAAAAAGTAATTAAAACATTTCGAATCTTTATAAGATAAATTTTTCATACATGCTACAATAAATCCTAATATTGCAAAATTTCAGGAGAAAATAAATAAATTTCTCTAGAACTTTAGGGTTAAGAATAAAAATTTAAAAAATTAATCACTACATTTTCCTGATAAGTCATAACTGCTATTCCCAATTTTTCAAATTCATAATAAAAATTCCCAAATCTGACATATTAAATAAAAAAAAAAATACAATTTTTTCAGGTGGCTCAAGGAAGATATTCATACACAGCTCCAGATGGAACACCAATCACAGTCGAATACATAGCCGATGAAAATGGATTCAGAGCAAGTGGAGCACATTTACCCACACCGCCTCCAATTCCAGAGGCAATTCAAAAAGCATTGGCCACACTTCCACAAACTAACGAAGGAGCTTACGACGAACAACAATACAATCGACCACAACAACAGTACAACAGACAACAATACAACTACGGGTCAAACCCCTATCGTAGATACAAGTGAGAAATACACATATAAAATTTTCTTCTAATTCAAAAATTGTATATGTATATTTTCTCAATCTTCAAATATATATGAAACATCATCATTAAACATATTTTATAAATAATATGAGTCAATTCGTTTTAGAAATGCTCGCGTCATTTTTACGCTTTTCTGAAACACAGACACACACACGTGCTTGACTTTGTTGTGTTCTATTGTTATATAGACGAAATTTTATAACAAAAATTTTCAGTACTATACTGAGAAGAAGTTGAAAATAATTTTTATCGAAAAATTATTTTTCAACATTAAATTATTCGAAAAATGATTTTAATTATACTATACGAATCATTCTTTGTGCTTTAATTTTTATACTATTATATATTATATACATAGATGTATAGTTCATAAGTGTACGAAAATGTAATAATAAACATTTTTTTACTTCATAATTTTTGTTGTTGACTTTTCCCTCTCCTAACTTTTACGCTTAACTTTGAAATATTATCTTAATCGTGAAAAAAATTTCTCCGGAGTTTTAACTCCGGGGGAATTTTTTTCACGATTAAGATAATATTTCTATTTATAAAAAATATATTTCCACATTTAAAAAACATATTTTTATATATAAATATATTTTTACATATAAAAAACATTTTTTTATATAAATATATTTTTACCTATAAAAAACATTTTTTTTGTATAAAAATAATCTTTTTTTCTTTTTTTTTTACTTTTACTTCGGTTTTTAAATATAAAAAAACATTTTTATTTACAAAAAACCATATTCTTAATTCGACTCGCGAACAAAATTCTGAATATTCCTTTAGATAATTATTTGATAATCAAAATATTAACTTTCACATAGCGTGAAGCGATACTTATTTGGTATTATGAAATGTTATGAAATTCAGTGAAGATGTAATTATCGATTGATATTATATACTATACAGGACGAACGAACTTCATTTTCTCGATTTTTTAAATGCTCAAGTAGTTTATAACTACAGTCACATTTAAAAAGAAGTATGTACATATTGAACGCTTATTTATTACTAATAATCAACACGCGTATAAATAAGATCTTCTTACACGTTTATTTCATTTAGTTTATTACAGTCATTTCAATTTTCAACATAATGAAATTCGCCGTATAAGTTAATTAATCAATAAGTTATTTTTTGAATTAAACACTTTTATTTTTTAATCGTGCGAAGAAAAATTTTTTTTTATTATTTTAATTGTGAAACAAATATGTATAAGAAATTATTAATATGACAGCATAAATAAAATCATTTTATTTAATATTAATAAAATGTGTAAACAAAATGAAATTAAATATAAAAAAATGTAAATAAAAATAAATAAATAGAAGTAAATAAATTTTTTTTAAATTATTATTTACAGTTTTGTTAATTGATAAAATTATCATAAAAAATCAATTAAAATTGTCATAATATTCTTTATTTTTGTTTCAAAATATTTATTTCTATTTCTAAAAATTAAAACTGCATTTTTTCCATAATTGAATTATTTATTTAAGAAACTTTTAACTATAAACTTCTTCTCTGAATCAATTATTTTTAATAATTTTCCAAAAGTTTGTCGAGAATTTAAATGTTATTTTAATAATAATTCAATTTATTAATTAATTAATTAATTTAATTTAAGTGAATTATTGAGAATATATAACAGAAAATATTGAAAAATAATTTTTAAGAAATTCATAAAATTAGTTTTTATTTAAAAATATTGTTTTATAATTTTTGGACAATAAATATTTTAAAAATTTCTGAATAATTGAAATTTAGTAAAATTTGTTGACAATAATATTGAATTTTTTAAAAGATTTTTGAAAGATATTTAAAAAAAACAATCAAGTTTTTGAAGAATTTTAATTGCAAATATGAAAATAAATGATTTTTTCAAAATTTTAATCACAATTCTTTTATAAAAATCATAATAATTTAAAAAAAAATTAATTCACATTTCTGTGGAAAATTATGTTATTTTCTAAAAACAATTGAATTTGTTAGAAGAAATTTTGAACCATTTTAAAAAATAATCAATTTTTTTGAAAAATCTTAATTAGAATTTTAGAAAATAATCGATTTCTTCGAAATGTTAATAATAATTCTAAAAAAATTCATTTTTACAAAATTTTTAATGTATAATTGTTTTTTGTACATTTTTTGAATTTTTGGAAATATGTAATTGAAAATATTGAAAATAATTGAATTTTTAAAAATTATAATGAAAAAATCTTAAGAATTACTTTTTTGCAATAATTTCTTAATATATTTCTTTTTAAGATTAATTTTTATTTTGATTTTTCATTATAACTTTTAATAATTCAATTATTTCGAAAACTTGCAATTCAAATTTTTTTAAATTGAATTTTCAGAAATTTTAATAAAATACTTAAAAAAAACTCAATTATTTTCAATAAAATTCTACTAAATTTTAATTATTCAAAACTTTTTAATTATATGTATTTCGAAACTTTAATTATACTTTATAGAAAAATTAATCAAAAATAAATTTTGAAATATTTTATTACAGTTATTTTTTATACTATAATAAAAAGCGAAGTAATTTAAATTTTATATCAAAAAATAAGTAAAAATTTTCAGAAAATAGTAAAATTTATTCTTTAAATAATGAGGAAAATTTGAATAATTTTTACAGAAAAATTAAATTGTTTCTAAAGTTTCGAACTTTTAAATGAATTAAAAATGACAATTCTTATTTCCCTAAAATTTTGAACGTTATCAAATGAACGAAATATTTTTTCTGTTTAATATTAATTTCAATAAATACAATTCTGAAATAAAAAATAATGTAGATTAAAAATTAAATTTGGATAAGAATAAACTTTTAAATATGAAAATAATTTATTTTTATTAAATTACAAATTAAAAGGAATAATAAAAATATTGTCGTTCATTTGAACGCTCAAAACTTTTGGAATATAATTTTTCTTAATTCTTTTAATTTGTATTTTTCTATAAAAAAATTATTTTGTATATTAAATAAATTAACTCTTAAATAAGTAAATGTTTAATTGAAAAATTTTTTTAGCAGATTAATTTTGAAAAAAATTTTGTTCATTTGAATGTTTGAAACTTTTGGAAAATAAAATTAATATTGAAAATAGTAAATTTCGCCATTAAAAATCGTTGCTTTGTATTAAAAGATTCCTAAGTTTAAGAACTCTGAGAAATAATATATAAAAAGATTTTTAAGTTTTAAAAAATCAAAATTTTTCCAATGTCAGCAAAAAGTTAAAAAAAAAATTATTTCTAACTGGTAAAAAGTGACAATATTTATTAGCTTTTCGCAAAAAAAGTGAGGGAAAAACGGGGAGAAAATGTATTAATTTAAGTTGAAACTCGAAATTTATAGGTTATGTTATGCAGGGGAAAAAAGAGTCGCGCAGCCGCTACGCGCCTGCGCGACTCTTTTTTCCCCTGCGTCCCTACTTTTTTTCCCTCTATCACCTAACCTCTAAACTTCGATTTTCAAGTTACAACCCACTTCACACGACAATAAAACAAATTTTTCAAACATCATTATTCCTTTTTTTTCACGAAAAAAAAACCTTTACTTATGCTCATCGCCAACAGAATATAATATAACAAATTGATAATGACAAGCAAGCCACATACAGTATTTAAATAAATTGGTAAACTTCAGAATTGGAATTTAATTTTTCACCTAATCGTGAGGTCATCAACACCGCACACTCTATAGATATATTTATTAATCGACGAATAAACTGTGAAGTGGAGTGCACGCTTCGGGCTTAAATCACGTTTCTTGATTTATTAAAATGATCGGAGCTGCACTGAAATGTCTTGTAACTTTTGTATATGACAGCAAAGAGAATGTCAGTCAAGAAAATATTTCGCTCAATGTTTCATCTTGGGATAATTTCAAGCGTGATGTGTGTAAATGTTTAGAAACAATGAAAAATTCTTTCTACAATTGTTATAAGAAGCTATATTTGAAAAAGTCAGGTGAACTTGCCTCGGGGAAAAATTGCCGCATGTAACTCTCAGGAATTATTATTATTACTATTACTGTTATTATTATTGTTATTATAGCCTTTATGCAGTTTTCGATAATGTGAAAAAAATGCTATTATTTACGAATAATCATAAACTTTACGATTGTCAATTTTTTTGTGATATTTAAAACATTTTATTTAGTAATTATTTAAGGAATATTTCAATCCGAACAAATGTTTCGTAAATAAAGAACATTCTCTATTGAATAAAATTATTTTTATCAATTTGTCACTATAGTGATAAATTTCTGGTTTTTTCAATCAAATACGATTTTTTTTGTTAAAATAATTCATTCAATAAAACGAATAAAACAATTGTTATTTAAAACCAATCGATCTATTGATATATTTAATCGCTTTAGAGTTTCAAAACAAATGACATTTGATATTGAGCGTGTTAAAAATAAAATAAATACCTGTTCATTGTCAGGAAGCAAGTCGTAGCAGCAAAAAGATGATCCTATATAGATAATCTCCTCGGAAAATCATCGTCACCTTGGTAAAAGTAATTATTGGATCACTTTAAAGAATCAATCATCTGGAACTTGTTTTCACAATTGAAATCTATCACTATTGCACACATTTCAAACGATTGTTAAATGCCGGCAACACGATTAAGTTCATGACAATCGTCAAACATTTCTGACTAATGATATCGTTTCTATAGTCGCAGAGCAACCTTATAATTCGTCCTTTCTCACAGCTGCTTTGATGGAAATTAAATTGTTTAATCTCCATTCGAACAAACAGGAAGAAAATATTTATTCACTTTTAACCGAAAGAGTCACACTTTTAATGCACTGATCGCTGATTGAATAACACTTTCTATGATCGAAAACACACTAAGCCGGATAATTTCAATAATTTCTTTTTATGGAACGTGGAATGAGACATTTTTATTGAAAAACTACTGAATACTACTGAAAATAATACTTTTTGATTAATACGAAGTATTTGAGAGGTGTCACGACTGCTACTAAAGCGACCAGACTGTGCGCAACTGCGTCACTGAAGGTTAGGTTATGGCGACAACAGGTCGGTAAAGTAGATTGCAACGTAACCATAGCAATACGGTCGGTAACTATCTAAAAATTTTTTGTCAAAATAGCCAAAATATGTCAATAATCAAGAAAAATTCTCTTTCAAAGCAAATTATTCTTAGTTTTTAATAATAATACTACATAAATATAATTAATAAATAATTAATATAATTAACGGTTTATTGGAAAACTAATTCTTTAATTTTCGAGGTCCCTGAAATTAGCGTCGATACTCAAAGTCAAAAACAATTATTTTCTTCGCGAAGTCGAAAAACGGTTAAAAAAAGTGCCGTGAACATTTTTTTAACATGGGCCTCTGGGTCTTTGTGGTGAATGAAAGATATGAAGTTAGTAACAATTCCATCTCTAACCTGAGTCCAGAGTCGGCGCTAACTTCAGGAACATTATTTTCTTTCTGTCAAAAAAGTAGATGCTACTTTTAGAAAATTATTTTTCAATTGTAGAAAATTGTAATAATTGTACCCAAAAGCTTTAGGATAAAAAATATAAATACACTTTATTTTCAGTTTTTTGTTTGGAATACAATTTTAAATAAACGATAATATATTAAAAGCGATGGAAATATTGTGACTGTTTATAACACTACGTACAGTAAATATCAAGAGCAAAAAACTTACGCAATAATGTTACATTTAACAGCATAATTTTTCGCACTAAATATAGTATTTACAATACTTTATACAAACTCGCGTATTTTTTTTGTCAGAATAACCGCACCATTGAAATAAAAAAATAAAAGTTGCGACAAAAAAAAGAAAATTCTAAATTCGCCCATTTTTGTAAAAATGTCTTTTCACATCACAGTTTTAACACTTCATTCGATGTAAACATAATCAAATTTCTTTTCAATTAATTAATTGATTAATTTCTTATTTACTTATTTGATTAAATTTCTCATTGAAGTAACGTGAAAAAAATTATTTTATTTATCTATAAGACAAATAAAATAAACAAAATAATTTTCATAATTTACATAAAAAAATAAAATATTTCTCATCCTCATCAATTTTTGTTAAAGTCGACAACATTAATTGCTATTCTTTGTTAACAATTTTTTGTTACCACAGAATAAAATATTAGTTTACACGTGTGATGAAAACTTTTAATTTAAAATTATTATTATTCTTTATTTATAAGAAATACTTATCAGAAAAAAAACAGAAAAAATATTAATTATTTCTATTTTTAGTTTGATAAATCTACACATAAAATCTCCTGCATATAACTTTTGGTCTTTCTTCGTATCAACAAAAAAAAAAGAGAGATTATTTACATTTCTGTAAATCACAGATTACATATAACTATTTTTACCCTTTCGCATTATTTTCAATATCACACAAATTTGTTTTTTTTTCTTTTTTGAAATTATTAAAATTGTATATTATTATCTTAAAAACAATAGCAGGTCAACTGATTATCAGTTAATTATTCGCTTAATTTCACTCCTAATTATCGATTTATGTTTATATAAAAAAAAATCGTGCAGTAATTGTCAAAATTACTATGAATTATTTTTAAATGGAAAATATAATATTTGAAAAAATAAAATCGATATAAAGCCAATTATTTCTAATGATTTTTTTTTTTCTTTGCTGATAGCTTGAAAGAAATTATTAATTTAACCACTCGATTAAAAAATAACCGAGATATCTGTTTGTCATTTTTTATAGATGATATTTACTATAAATCTTCATTAATTGAAATATTTTCTTGTAAAATTGAATTTTTAAAGAGACTATACCACATTATGGCTTCTGTCACTTTGTCCTGGCCTTATTTCTGTTGTTGGTAATTCTTCAATATCCACTTCTGTTGAATTTTTCATTAAAACATGAACTGTTAATGGCGGTTCCTCTTCGGTGTAAACATTCACAGTATGTGGCTTTGTACTGCTGACAGAGCGCTCAAGATCTGGCACTTCGCCTGAAAGAATAAAAAAAGAAATTTAATACTCAAAGTTTTAAAAAAGGCAGAAAAAATGCAAAAAAGTTACAAAAATACAAAAAAAAAATACAAAATTGTACAACAGGCTTTATACTCAATAATTAATTTTCAAAAAAATAGCAAAAATTATCTTTAAGACTGAAAAAAGTAAAAAAAAGTGGCTATCGAAAATTAAATTTAACGATTTCATTTTTCGATTCAGAAAAATCACTAAAATTTTAATCTATTTTTCCCTTTCATTTTCCTAATTTCCATAAAAAATATTCACTTTTTTTTCTTATCCTGGTAATAATTTCAATTTAAATTTTTTATGAAAATCAATTATTTTCCTAACCTTAAGAGTAAATAATTTTTATAAAATTCAATTATTTTCCAAATTTTTACAAAAAAATAATTTTTATGAAATTTAATTATTTTCCAAACTTTTACAATAAATAATTTTTATGAAATTCAATTATTTTCCAAACTTTTTAAAATTCTTCAAAAATTCGATAATATTCAAAAATAATTTTTAAAAGTAAAAAAATTAATTTTTTAATGAAAAATATAAAATTTATTTCCATTAAATTTGACCAAATTTTCAATTAATTGAAAATTTAACTAAATATTGTTTGTCATTTTTAACGAGAATTTAACTATATTGAAAAAATTTTAATTATGAAAATAATTGAATTCCTGCTAAGAATTTTAATACATTTTTCTTAATAATTGAATTCCTGTGAAAAATGTTTTTATTTGTAAAAATAATTGATTTTTTGCAAAGGATTTTATTGAAATTTTTTTAAAATAATTCAATTTATGTATTTTTAATCATTTTATGAAAATTTAAATAAATTATGAAAATACGTTAATTCTTACAAACAAATTTTATGAATATTTCAGAAAAAAATTAATTTCTTTCTTAGAATTTTATTAAAATATTTTAAATACTTGATTTTTTTCGAAGAATTTTAAGAAATCTTTTGTAAATAATTACGTTTTCTGGAGGAATTCACTTAAAATTGGACTAAAAATGAAGAAATTTATTATTTATGAAAATAATTGAATTATTATTCAAACAAATTCTATAAAATTTTTTGAAATAATTGAATTTTTGCGAATTATTTTATTCAATTTTTTTTAAATAATTGAATTTTCGCAAAGGATTTTTTAAAAAATTTTTGAAATAATAGAATTTATTTTAAATCATTTTATGAAAATTTTAATAAATTTAATAAAACATTTTAATTCTTGCAAACAAATGTTTATAAATATTTTAGAAAATAATTAATTTCTTTCTTAGAATTTTATTAAAATATTTTAAATACTTGATTTCTTTCGAAGAATTTTAAGAAATCTTTTGTAAATAATTACGTTTTTTGGAGGAATTTACTTAAAATTGGACTAAAAATAATTAAAATCCCTTGAAGAATTTTTTTATTCATGAAAATAATTGAATTAATCAAACAAATTCTATAAAATCTTTTTAAATAAATGAATTTTTAAGAATGATTTTATTTAATTTTTTGAAAATAAGTAATTGAATTTTCTTTTAATCGTTTCAAAAAAATTTAAAAGAATAATTCAATTATTTCGAATTATTTAATTGAAATTGTATTTAAAAATAATTGAAATCTTGCGATGAATTTTATTATTTCTGAAATAATTTAATTTTTATAAACAAATGTTATGAAAATTTCAAAAAATAATTAATATCTTTTAAACAATTAAATTGAAATATTTTAAATAATTGCTTTCTTTCGCAGAATTATAATAAATCTTTTAAAAACAATTACACTTTTTGACGGAATTTACTTAAAATTATTTTTAAAATAATTGAAATCTAGTGAATAATTTTATTATTTGTAAAAATTAATTGAATTCTTGCAACGAATTTTATTAAATTTGTTTAAATAATTGAATTCCTGTGAAAAATGTTATGTATTTGTAAACATAATTGAATTTTTTGCGAAGGATTTATTGAAATTTTTTGAAAGAATTGAATTTCTTGGAGAATTTTTATTAAAATAGTTGATATTTGAAAATATTTAAATTTCACCAAAGAATTTCATTATGTGTGAAAGTAATTGAATTTTTGCGAAAAATTTTTCAATAATTTTTTGAAAATAACTGAATTCTTACAATGAATTTTGTATAAAAAATTTTTAAATTGTTTCTAAGATGAATTTTATTAAAATTCTTCAGAATAATTTTTTATATTTCATCTGTTACTGCATTTAAAGTAGTGCAAATTTTCTCAAAAAGAAAAGAAAAAAGTAGCTTTTATTGTTACAAATTTAAAAAAAAAACATTCAAATTGTAGCTAATCGTAAAAAAAGTAAGAAAGAGTTTATTTCAGTAGATGAGTGCGAAGCCGACAAGAAATACAAAAAAAGGTTCAAGAAATAGAAGAAAAAAGTAAATAATAAAAATAATAATATTAAAAAAAGTAAAAAGTAAAAAATACAATAAAACAGAAATTAAATTAAAAATAAACTCTTCTAAGTCAAAAAAAGTACTTTTAAGTACAAAAAAAGGTTTAAGAATAGAAGAAAAAAGTAAATAATAAAAACAATATTCAAGAACGTAAAAAGTAAAAATTAAGAATAAAAAGTAAAAAATACAACAAAACATAAATTAAATTAAAAATAAACTTACCGTTGATACTGTGACTATCGGAAACAGTAAACAAAGTGCCAGATGACTCGGCATTGGGAACACTCATAAAATCGTCTGAATCCGAACTTGATAAACTGGAAGGTTCCGAATCAGAGCAAGTATTTGAATCATTATTTTGTCTTTCTTGTTGCCTTCTTCCTCTCGAGAAGGGATTTTCACTTTGAGAAGCGAGAGCTCTTGAAAAAGGATTCTCTCTTTGAGCGGCAAATGTTCCTCCTTGAGTACCTTGAGTAAAAAAAGAATTTATATATTTTTAATACCTACATTTTTTTTCCACATATAAACTTTTTCTTAGCCTCGCCGTTTTTTTATTTACCTGGATGCCCATTTCTAATTAAAGGGGTCGAATCATCAGCGTCTGAGTCACTCTCACTGTCTGTAATCACTCTCTCATCAGCCGCAAAAACCTTACGTTTGCAAACTGGACACACCCGTCGACTTTTCGTCAACCACGGATCAATGCATTTCGAGTGATAAGCTACAAGAAATATTATTTTATAATAAAAATAATAATATAAAATAATAATAATAATTTAAAATAACAAATATTTACTTCAGAATTTACGTATTTTACAATAGTTATTTCAAAAATTTGGTAAATTTTACATTTTCAATCAACGATTTAGAAGAAAAAGTAATTTTCCCTTGAAATTTTTGTCTAAAAAAATTTTACCTTCGTGATCAACAATGTTAATCAAAAAGTTAAAAAAAAGAAAAAATTCTAAACGTAAAATACTATTTTCCGAGTAAGAAAATGTTTTTTTCTTCCAATCGTTTTCGAAAACTCAAAGATAATTAAAAATAGAATTAAAAATAGAATTACTTTCAGGAAGGAAACTATTTTTTTGAAAACGTGGTTTTTTTGAAAAAAACACGTTTTCAAAGAAATAGTTTCTTTTCTGAAAGTCAAATCGAATTCTTCAGAAATATACTACGGAATTAAATTTCCAAAGCAGCGAATAAAATGAAAATTTACCATGTGCACAAGGCAAGACTCGTAATTTTTCTCCTTCGACATAATCATCTAAACAAATAGCGCACGTTTCGTAAGGATCGCCCTTGGTATACTTATGAGTTGGAATTTTTTTTAAACTAGAATTCGGCAGACGATGCCTTCTTTGTCTCCTTCTATCTTTTATACAGTTAACGATCTAGAAAATAATAATTTTCAAACAATAAAACATGTTTTATAAATGTATACAAGCTAAAGAGTAATAAAAAAAAGAAATAAAAAATGTAGTCATAAAAAAGAAGAAATCTTACCATAAATATGACCATGATAAGAAAACATAGGCCAACAACGATAGCGAATGGCAATAATAAATGTGTATTGATATTAAAAGGTAAATCATCATTTATCAATACAAAGTAAAGATGATTGTAAAGATAATTTCCTTTGAGTATCAGTCCCGTAAGTTCGCTAACAAACACTGACGGAATTTCGATTCCAACCGAATCCTTCGCTGACATCGGTTCTGAAAATTATTATCGAATTTAATTTTTAAATATTTTTTTGAATAATTTCAATATCAAATTTAAGTAATTATAAAATCTTTGTTTATTTTTAAAATATTTTTCGTAGTAATAATTATAATAATAATAATTTAATAACTTTTAAATAATCATTCAGGCCCCGGATAGTAAGACATTTTTTTTACTTTTTTCGACTATTTTCAAAAAACTGAGACTTTTTTCGACTAAATTTAATAAAATGAGAGTATTTCGCCTTTTCTTCCATATAACACACTAAAATACCACCTTTTTGGTATAAAATACTACGTATCTCAATTTTCAAAACGGGAAAAATAATTACAGTCCAATCTTTTTCTCTAAACTTACATTTTTTTAGAAAAATTTATCGATTTATCGAAATTTTGTAAAATTGAATTAAAAACAATTGAATTTCAAATTATATTTTATGTAAACTTTGTTTGATTTTTTCTTGAATAATTCAATTAACAAAAAACTTTCTTTTTATTAAAAATAATTGATTTAGAAAAGAATGTTTACGTTACAAATTCTAGCAAATAATTGAATATTAGAACATTTATAAAAGAAATTTTTAAAAATAATTAAAATTCAGAAGGTTTCAAATTAAAATTTTTGTAAATTTGAATTTTGAATATTTTCAAATAAAAATTCCAAACAATTTAGTTTTTTGATCAATTTTAATTCAAATTGTCTTAAAATTAGTTATTTATTACTCATTTTTAACTATTTAAAAATATTCTGAATATTTCTGAATATTTTCAATTTTTCAATATTTTGAATATCATTTAAATAAAAAATTCTAAATATTTGAAATTTCGTAAAATGCAATTGAAAATAATTGATTTTTAAATTCAATTTTATGTGATTTTTTAAAAATAATTCAATTGTCAGAGAACTTTCTAAAAATTATTAAAAATATATGGTTTAGAAATAAACTTTCTAAAAAATTAATTTTTTAATTTTTTTAGTTAATTACTTTTTAGAAAAGTAATTAAATATATTAGAAAAAAAGAAAACTAATATTTGAAATTTTTATAAATTATTAAATTTCAAACGATTTCAAACTGATATTTTTGAAGGTATGAATTTTTAATTAAACTTTTGGATAATTTTAGAGTTAAAAATTCAAGAAAATAATTACATGAAAAAATGAAAAAAAAGGAATTAAGTAATTACTAATTCAAAATTAAAACAATCATTTGCAATTTTTAGAAGTAATAAAATTTCAGAAAGTTCGAAATTAAAAGTTTTAAATATTTAAACTCCTCTAGAAAATTATATTATTTTATGTATTTAAAATTTTCTTTAACAAGTTCATTGAATTTATAAATTGTAATTTAATTCAGAAATCTTGAAAAAATTTCGATTTTCAAAATGTTTAATTACAAAAAAGCAATTGATTAAAATATTGTCAAAACAATTGCAAATCTCGTCCAATTTCATTGAAATAAATTTTAAATTTTAAATTTAATAATAATTTTTTGAAAATTATTATCATAAATTTTTGATGTGTCTTTTTGAAGAAATTTGAGAAAATATTTTGAAATTAATCGAATTTTATACAAAAACTTAGAATTGAAGTTATTATCAAAAATAACGGAGAGAGTAAAAGTCTTTTCTGCAAATCAGAATAAAATAAACGACTTGAACATTTTCCGACTTTTTTCCTACTTTGAATTATTCAAATCGACTAAAACGATTTTCTTTTGTCTCTTAAATTCAATCCGAGGCCTTGGAATTTAATTACTATTTCAACGAGATTATGAAAAAAAAATGAAAGAATATGAAAAATAATTTATAATATTTACCAAGTTCTTCGCTATTCACATTATGAACAATCACGGCATCATAGCCAGCTGTTTGTGCCATTCGAACTTTTATTTCAAAAGTACAATTTAAACGTGCCACCAGAAGAATCCATTTTCCCTCGTAGCCGTCCACATTTGGCGGCTCTTTCACATTTGAACAAGCAAATGGAGGATCTGCGTAAACAATCATGCCCTGTTTGGGGAACAGAAAAACAGTATTTTAAAGTAAATTCAATAAATTTGTAAACAGAAATTTAATAAATAATCGTAAATCAAATAAATAATCGTAAATGGAAAAATATAATAATAAATGAAAAAAATGATCGTAAACGAAAAAAATGATCATAAATGAAAAAATAATCGCAAATGGAATAAATAATCGTAAATGGAATAAATAAATTGCAAATGAAATAGACAGTCGTGAATGAAACAAAGAAACGTAAACGAAATAAATAATCATAAATGAAAAAATAATCGTAAATGGAATAAATAAATTGCAAATGAAATAGACAATCGTGACTGAAATAAATAATTTTACACGAAATAAAGAAACGTAAACGAAATAAATAATTATAAATAAAATAATTAATCGTAAATGGAATGAATAATTGCAATTGAATAAATAATCACGAATGAAATAAATAATCGTAAACGAAATAAATATTCGTAAACGAAATAAATAATCGTAAACGAAATAAATAATGGCAAATAAAGTAAATAGTCGTGAATGGAATAAATAATCATAAGCGAAATAAATAATCGTACAAATGAAATAAAAATAAATAATCATAAGCGAAATAAATAATTGCAATTGAACAAACAATCGTGAATGAAAGAAATAATCAAAAAAGAAATAAATAATCGTAAGCGAAATAAAAAATCGTATAAACAAAATAAATAATCGTAAACAAACAAAAAAATCTCGTAAATAAATATAAATACAATTTGTTAAATAAAAAAAATGTTTTCCCAAAGAAAGAAAGAAATAAATAAATATGCATTTAAAGGTGATAAGATTACTTTGATTCCTTCAGGTGGTATCTGTCCACCGAACCGTGCTGGCATATCTCTGAACTCCTCCTCGATTTGATGACGATCTGCATTTGAAAATACTAAAATATCGGCCTGCACAGTGCTGAAGAGAAGAAGAGTTAAAAATATCAGCCATAATTGAGTTCTGTGACTTAGACAACACTGAGGCATTTTTTTTTCTTTTATTTAAATCCCCGGTGACTCCTAGTTTTATCAATTCACTAGGAGTTCTCTACTTTTGTATCATACTGTAAACCCACAATTTCACTGATCAATTGAAAATTATTTATGCTCATCAAAAGTAACACGCTGATACCGATCTGGAAAAAAAAACAATTTTTTCTAATTAAACAAAATTCTCAAAGTGATTAAAAATATATTAAAATGGAGAATTTAATTAATATATTGCTTCTGAAGACCTAATTCTTTTAAACATTCATAGAATACTAAAAACTCAATAATAACTAAGTAATAGTAATAAGAAGAAAAAGAATAAATAATTAAAAGAATAATAAATAATAATAATAAGAATAAAAAATAATAATAAATAATAATTAAATAGTTTTACTTTTTTCAATTTTTATTCTACTAAACATTAATTGACAATTTTACTTTTAAATTCGAAAATTATTCTTTATTTAATGCATGTATTCAATTGTCTAGAAAGTGCGGAGTTAATCGTACAATTAGAAAAAAAACTTTTTAAAAAACATTTCCTCAAAGTGACGGAATAATTTTTAATCGGTTTGAAATTCTGAATACAAGTTTTTACATCGTTTTAAACAAGTAATTCATGTATAAGTATAGTTATCTCAGAATGCTAATTGGCTCCATTTAGCAATGTCTTTGTTTAAGAGCCACCGACCTTGGATGAACACTCGACAACTTAGTTGATAAGTAATAAAATCGATAGATAAAGTCTAATAAATTTAGAACAGTTTCCGAAACTAGTGTAATTTTTTCCAAATCCTATCTCTCATCATGTTAGTTTTCGTAATTTTGCTTTCGTCATTAGTTCAAAAAAATCAGAAATCTCTTACGAATGATAACAATATAATAACGAAAACTATTAAAATTGCAATGTAATTAAATTATTAAAATACCATTAATTTATAAAGGATGTTACCAATTATTTTCAGTCCCTCTGTTTTTTTGATTATTAACGATCTGATAGAAACAAAAACAAAGACATTTTTTTCGCACAAATAACTACACTGAACTATAAAAAACTATTTAAAAAAAAGAATTATTCATAATTCTACTGTCGAATGGGAGTATAAACAAAGTAAAATTCCTTCTCACTTATCAGCATTATTTTGCTGTGCTTATCATTGCAATAATGATTGAATTTCCTGTAGAAATAAATGAAATAAATCGAGAAAGTCACTGAGGACAATTAGTATTAACATTGACAAGTTTAAAAAAGAAACAATTATTCCATACACCTGTCAGTGGAGCTTATAATTTATAAAACTGCAATTAGGGTCATAAAGGTCATAAATTTGCCATTGGTAAAGTATTAATATTAAAAATAAATGAAATAAATTTATATATTCTCATCACCTATCAGTTTTTTACTGCAAGAGAAACATAGGTCAGCGAATAAAATCTTGTTTTCTGTGTATAATCCACATACACGATAAGTCACTCTACGTAGGTGGTGTATATATAATAACACTACTATCAAAAACTACGTATATTTAAACACTTTGTTTTAATTGATTGTAAAGATTAAAATAATTACAATACTCGCGTATATATATATATGTCGAACACAAATTTTTATAGGTTATGACAATCGTATCAAACACTTTTTTAATCACTTGGGAAATTTAAACGATATGTTCGTGACAGTAATGAGTGTATTATAAAAAACATAAATAAAGAAAACATAAACTGATAATTATATTCGTAAATAGCACCAAGTCGATTGAACGCAATTAACTGTCACTCTCCATTTTGATACGAGGGAATAATTTTTACTCTTACGTGTCAACGAATCGCACTTTTTCCAAATATTGTAAACATTGACGGGGGATTTAAATTTGTGAATTGTTTGATTATTTCATATCGATTTTACGAAAATTTAACATTAATTTGTCAACAAAAATACTATGAATTTGTCTTTCACTTTTTTGATGAGCAAACTGTGTGTGCCTGAAGACGTCTGCTTTTTTTGCACTCGACCGCCAGAGGCGCTACAATCAAAGCGCCAAATTTGAAAATTTATTTACAAGATTTTTAATTTCTTTTCTTTAATTTATTTAATATATAGATGAATTATTAATAAATAAACATATTCTATGTAGGGATTGAAATATAAATAGGTAGTCGTCGATGTTGCATAAAAATCTCATTTTATTTACTAATTTATAATTTACACAATTATAAGTTATAAGATGCAACAGTTCTTTAGTGAACAAGAACAATATTCAAGTTTTTTTCACAAAATATAAAAAGATCCACATTGGTTACCTTTCTCTTAATTACTATCTGCTCGAGAAAAAACAGCAGCGGTGTAATATAAAGTTCGACAAGGTAGAATTTATTTATATAAATTTTTTAAAGCCCTTGTATCCTTGTATTTAACACGCTCCAAAAAAAGTGCCGAAAATACCGAATTATAGGTTATGTTTGTTTTCGATTTTTCTTTATAATAAAACCTTCCTTTTTAATTACGTAAATTTGAAACCTTTTATTGAATATTTTCAACGCTCTGAAGACTTGAGCAACAATAATTTGTAGTATTGTCATTGATCCTCTGTTCTTTTCATTTTGAAAATTACCAACATAACCTCAAATTCACTTTTTTCGTATGCGCGTCATACATAATTTTCGTTTGTTTATAAACATTTAGCATTTTCGATTATTAAACAAAAAAATCTAATTTTACATGAATATATTACAATATTTACGACTTGAAACCCTTTTTTGAAACGGAAAGTATAATAAAATGTGGATCTAAAGAAGAGACACGAGCATAATTTCAAACTATCAATAATTTTATTGTTTCCTAATTTTTTGTATATTCTAAAAATTGTACTAAATTAATCTTACTGTAAAGTGTAGCGAAATATTAATTATTATTATTATTAATTATAATTAATTAATTTTTGATTAACTTAGAAGATCGCTTTGTAAAGTGAAATGTGTATACAAAACATTACATATACATATATTTATGTACTGTACAATTAGCCAATTTATTGGTTCTTGAATTAAAAAAAAATCTATTATATAATGAAATACCTGATTATTTTAAAGAATAATTCAGTCTCAGGCGATTCGAAAATATTGAATTTCTTTCAAAATTATATCAACAAATATCAAAGATCGATTAATTAAAGAAATATCAAAAGTCGAATTTAAATTAACAAGAAAATTGTAAATGTACAATAGTTTTCATTAATATTAATAAAAAAAAATTATAAAAAAAAACATTCGTATGTTTGTGAGAAAACTTATCATGCCCTATAAATAGTAAGACTTCCAAATGTTCAAAAAAAAATTGATTTTTGTTTTGAATATTAGATTAATTTTTCAGTAATTAATTTTTGTGTCCAATTTACTATTTTTTGTACTCATCAAATTTCTAAATTTCTTTTTTTTTTTTTTTTGTCTAATCACTTTAGATTGAATTGTTATTTTGTTTCTTTTTTAAATTTAAAGTCTTACATCTTTCCTCGAGTGAATCTGTCGTCAAGCAATTGGGCCTTCATGAAAATGTGTTTCTTTTGAGCCTCATCAAATCTATTTGATTCTAAATCAATGTCTCGATCGAATGGTCTTCTGGTGGATTTATTCTTTTCCCTAGCCTCCTTTTCTTCTTTCTGCAAAAAACAATAACAAAAGAGAATAAGAAAAAGTAGAAAAAAATTATGAAACAAAAAATTTATTACAAAAAAATTAAAATTAAAATTAAATTAAAAATTTATTATTTAGTTATTATTAACTTTCGTAAAGTTTACAACGTTTATAATCCAAGATTTAGAAAATAATATTTTTTCTGAGAAAATTTTGATTAGTCATTGATCATAAACGTTGCAAACCTTACTCACGTTATGCAAGATTACAGCAAAAATTTAAATAAAATAATTTGAATTTTGAATAAAGATTTTTGAAAAAACTAACTTTTTCAAAATTTCAAATTAAAATTATTTAAAATTCAAATTTTCGAAAATTTTAAATTGACAAAACTATATGAAATTCAATAATTTATAAATATTGCAACTGTAATTTTTCGAAAAACCAATTTCAAGATTTCATTTCAATTATTTTCCTAAATTTTGAACTGAAATTTCTCTTTAAATCAATTATTATTAATAATTTCTGAGAATTAAATTATTCAAAGAAAAAAAGAAAATTAATCTAAATTAATAAAAATTTATTTTTAAACCTTTTAAAATTTAATTATTCATAAACGTTGCTTCTATAACTTCTTCAAATTTATTTTCAATTTTTCAATTCAACTATTCTCTACAATTTTGAACTAAAAATTGTCTCCAAATCAATTATTTTTAATTTTTCTCTAAAATTATTTTCAAGGTTGAAAATTGAATTATTTTCTAGAATATTTAACTAAAATTCTTTTTTAATTCAATTATTCTTAATAATCTGTCTCCAAAATTATTTTCAAGTTTCAAATTCAATTATTTTCTAGAATTTTTAACTAAAATTCTTTTCTAATTTATTTATTTATTTATTTATTTAAATGTATAAACGAACATAAAAATAAATAAACGGTCATAAATAATTTAATTATTTTTAATATTTTCTAATTAACATTATTTCCAATATTCAAAATTCAATTCGTTTTAATCATTTTTCTCCAAAATTATCTTTAATATTCAAAATTCAATTATTTTTAATAATTTTCCTCTAAAATTATTTTCAAGGTTCAAAATCCAATTATTTTCTAGAAATTTTAACTAAAATTCTTTTTAATAATTCCATTATTCTTAATAATTTTTCTCCAAATTATTATAAATATTCAAAATAAAATTATTTTCTAGAAAATTTTCAACTAGAATTCTTTGAAAAATCAATTATTTTTAGTATTTTTTCTCCAAAATTATTCTTAAAATTTCAATTCAATACTTTTCTAAAATTTTCAACTGAAAATTTTTTTTAATTCAATTTTTTTTAATAATTTTCTAACCAACATTATTTTCAATATTCAAATTTCAATTATTTTTAATATTTTTTCTCCAAAATTATTTTAAATATTTAAAATTTAATTATTTTTACCAATTTTTCTCCAAAATTATTTTCTAGAATTTTTAACTAAAATTCTTTTCTAATTTGATTATTCTTAATAATTTTTATCAACAATTATTTTTAAGATTAAAAATTCAGTTATTTTCTAAAATTTTTAACTGAATAAAATTATTAAATTTATTGAATTCAAATTTTCTACAACTTCAATTTAAAACCTTTTGAAATTCAATTATTTATAAAAATTGTAATCGCAACTCTTATAAAATTCAATTATATTTGGAATCTTAAAATATTAAATATTCAAATAAAATTATTAAAATTATTGAATTTAATTTAAATTTTCTAGAACTTCAATTTCAAACCTTTTGAAATTCAATTATTTATAAAAATTGTAAACACAACTCTTATGAAATTTAATTATTTTTCGAATTTTGAAGTAAAATGATTAAATATTTAAATAAAATTATTAAAATTATTTAATTCAAATTCAAATTTCCCAAAAATTGTAATTTAAAATGTTTTGAAATTCATTTATTTAATATAGAAATTGCAAACTCAACTCTTATAAAATTCAAGAAGAATTGAATCTTTTTAATATTTTCAGAAGTTGCTAGACACCAAAATCAAACATTTTCTTACGAATTCTAGAAATTTAATATTTTCCTTGCACTTTTGATAAAGATTTCCAAAATTCCCAGATTTCCTTGACCTATGTCAAACCCTGCTTTTAATTATGTAATTATAATTTCAAAAAATATTTTTACCTTCTTTTTCTTCTTCAATTTCTTCTGATGTATTTCCAATAATGATTTATGCCGTTTCTTTGACTTTTCTGATGATTCTTCTTTTACAAAGAATTCCTTAATTGGTTCCTCTTTATTGGCTATAGCTGCTAATCTTTCCTCCGCCTAGAAAAATGTGTTTATTTTTAAATGATAAACTTGAAATTAAAAACCGTGAGTTAACTAAAATTTAAATATAATTATTATTAATTACGAAATTATTATTAAAATTACTTAATGAAAATTTCAAATTCACCTTTTCCTGCTTTTTCCGCATTTTATCTGCCGGAGTGTCACTCCAAGAGGATCGATCCGATAAATCTGGACCATCTCGCGTTTTGAATTTTCTGGGACCAAGTCCCAATGACACAGCTTGAACTGCTGGCAATTCCGTCATCCACTCTTCTCTCTTCTTTTCTTTACTTGTATGCTGTGGTGGTTAAAAATTTATTAATAAACATAAATATTTCTAAAATACAAAAATTATTAATAAATTTAGAATATTAATAATTAAAAACAAGTATTTTCCAAATGTTCGAAAAATAGAATCCTGACGTTTTAGCGTCGACGCTCAGTGTGAAAATCAATTTTTTGGATTTTTACTGCTGGCAATAATTTTACTACTTTCATTCACTTAAAACTTTCCATTTAACGATCTGAACACAAAATTTTTGTAAAAGTTTAATTTTTTTGGTTTTGCAGAAAGAAAACTTTTTTTTTACGCTTAGCGTCGACGCTAATTAAAAAATTACCAAAGACAAAAATACCTGTGTCATTAATTCGTATTGAAGTCGTTGTGCTCTTAATTCAAGACTTTGTTGCACAATACTAGTTTTATGAGCTGAATGATCGGCAGGTAAGGGTCCAATAACATCATCATCATCATCATCATCTGATTCAGCCGAAACACAATCGGTCTTCAATTCACTAGGCAAGGTAGGACCGTAAATTTTCCCTTTAGAATGCATTTTATCTTTATTTGTTAAATGAGACGGTAAAACAGGCCCGTAAACTTCGTCATCATCATCATCATCTTCATCACTTTCCGATTGTTTCGACGAAAGATGAGGAGGCAAGCTTGGTCCAATAGTTCTCTTCCGAAAAGGTTCCTCCAACAATTCTTCATCTTCATGCTTTTTACTCTTCGACTTTTTCTCCCATTTATTTGACGAAAGATTGTCATCTTCTAAATTTGTTGACTTATGACTGGAAGATGGCATCGTGGGTCCAATTATTCTTTTCTCCTTTACAATTTTTCTACTCGTACTCTCTTGATTAATATCTTCGTTACTGAATCCCGGACTCTTTTCTCTCTCATTAGATTTAATTGGTTTATCACTATAACTTGAGTCACGTAAAGTGTTCGATTCCAACAATAGACGATTTGCAGTTTTCTCATCTTCGACTTGAAATTTTTTACTTGACGAATCTAAAGTGAAATCTGAAAAGGCACTAGGATTATTATTACTTGAAGAGGCGGAATGATTACCATTCCTTGGATTTACCTTTTGCAGATCGTCGAGACGATGTTTTTTACGTTCCGTTTGTCCTTCTATGGAATCTTGCTTTGAATTTAAATTTCTTTTTTTCAACTTTGATTTATTATCCTGACTACTGATGTTTGAACAGTCGGATGAAAATTCCTCGAGATCGGAGACAATTTCAAAGTCTGATATGTTAAATTCACGACAGGCAGAATCTTTACTGACCTTTGACAAATTCTCATCGATTTTAATTTCCATTGAAACTTTTGTTGTGGTTTTTTCATTTTTTCCTAAAATTCTCTCGTCCTTGAGTAATTTATCTTTCGAATGAGTTTTCTGCTTCTCGTGATATTTTAATTTATGCCTATCACTCGATGATCTATCACTGCGACTTCTGTCTCGTGATCTCTTTCTACTGTCATCCCGTGAACTTCTCGATTCTCTCAAACTCTTTGAATCCTTCTCATTGGACCTTGAACTTTTGGCATCTTTTCTGTCCTTCGAATCTCTGAGATCCTTCGTCTCTCCTTGATCGCGATCTTCTCTTTCTCGTTGTACTGATGAACTCTTGTAATCCCTTTCGTCCCTGTGCTTCAGGTGCTTCGAATCGTGTGCATCTTTAGAATCTTTGAGATATTTTTGAAATGAATGTCGATCGCGTCTGTCCTTTGAGTCTCGGGGGGAATCGTATCGAGAGCGAGAATCCCGTCCGCGACTCAAAAATTTATCACTGTCCTTTCGATTTCTGTCCGATGGTCCCGGAGATCTTGATTGTTGCTCTTGACGACTAGAATACGGTGAGTCTCGATATTTTGAGTGGGAAATTGTTGTTGCATCTTTTCTTGTGGCTTCAAAACGAAATCGACGTCCGTCATCGCTGTCCTGACTTTCGGAGTCAGATTCCATTGTTGTCATTACTTTTTTCTGCAAAAAGAAAAGAAAATGTAATTTAATAAAAAATAGAAACTTAATTAATTTTCAAAAAAAAAAAACTACCAAACCAAACTAGAGTTTTGATAAATAATTTAAAAATAAATTTTCATTCAATAAATAAAGTGATGCGCTCTCGAGAAAGGAACCTAAAAATAAACGATTTATAGATTTTTGTGTCAGATTCGTATATAAAAATAATTAAAATTCTACGATGAGTTTTATTATTCTTAAAAAAAAATAATTTAATTCTTGAGAACAATTTTATTTAATTTTCTTTAAATAATTGAATTCCGGTAAAAATTGTTATTATCTCTGAAAATAATTGACAATCTGCGTAGAATTATATAAAAAAATTTGTAAATAATTGAATTCCTGTGAAATTATTATTATTTATGAAAATAATTAAATGTTTGCGTAGAATTTTATTAACGTGTTTTTTTAAATAATTGAATTCTTTTGGAAAATTTTATTAAAATAGTAGATATTGAAAAATCATTGAATTGAGGAAAATTTTTGAAAATCATTGAAATTTTGCTTAGAATTTTATTAAAATGTTTGAAAATAATTGAATTTCGAAGAAGAATTTTATTATTCATAAAGATAATTGAAATTTTGTCAAGAATTTTATCAAAATTTTTTGAAAATAATTAAATTTTTGTAGGAATTTTATTACTTACAAAGATAATTGAATTTCTGACGAGAATTTTTAAACAATTTTTTAACATAATTTAATTTCTGTAAAGAATTTAATTACTTTTGAAAATAATTAAATTTCTGCAATTGTTCAAAATAATTAATTAATTCTATGTAACAAACTTTAAGTAATTTTAGAAGAATTTGAGTTATTAAAATTTTTCAAAAACCTAGGTTTTTTTAAAAATATTTTTGATTAAATTCATTCGTAATTGAAATTTGATAAAATTTGAAATTGAAATTAAAATTGAAACTTTGATTTTATTGACCGCGTTAGAAATAAAAAAGATATTTACTATATAATTAATCATAATCATTAAGTTGAAAAATGTTTTGAGAAATCTCTGATCAACACTGAAATGAGAATAGTGACTAAATATTGTTTATAGTGAAACTGAGAAAATGCTATATAAGAAGGTAGAATCGATACGTGATGAATATTTAATCTTGTATCTGTCTTCTTATGGTTAGATTTCTCATATATTACTGTTTATCTTCTCGATATTGATTTGTACAAGCAACAATAAGCAAACTTTAGAAAAATTTCGATTTAAATATTTTCCCTTGAATATAATCAAAAATTTTTCCCTGAAAAACAAAAAAATTTGTTGAAAAATAAAAAATATGATATTTAAATCTATTATGTTGAAAAATAAAAAATATGACATTTAAATCTATTATTATGTTGAAAAATAAAAAATATGACATTCAAATCTATTATGTTTCTGAATATTGAATAAAAAATTGTGAAAAAGAAATATTTGGAAATATTAATATTGAAAACGAAACTCTTGATTGAGAAAGAAAAAAATTAAAAAAATTGTGTTAGGCACTAAGTTAATGAACGGAAAATTACTCTTCTACGTGTTTTGTTGCGCTCTTTTTCTCCAAATCTTTCTCCACTTTTTTCACCCCTTTCTCCTTGGGAACTGAATCGACTGCACTTTTAACATCATCCGATTCAGCGCTAGCAATTGCAGGAACTTGTATTTTTTGAATCTTTTGTTCCTGTGTTGACATCATTTTAACAATCTTAGCCCCACTGTACTTCAATGATTTATAAACGCCAGCCGTTAAAATTCCCTTTAAACTCTGCGAAATACTCGAATTCCAAACAATTCGTCGAAAACAACTGTCGACAATTTCACTACAATCTGGATCGTGTGCCAAAGCACGTAGACAATCCTCCGAATCTTTGACCCTCGGCCCTTGGGACCAGGCTCTAACTAACATTCTCTGCGGAGTTCGCGGCAATTGATTCAAATGATGTATCCGCGTGGCTGGTCCCGTATCCTGTCTACACATCGTTGGATCATCATCAGACAATGGAATCTCAACATATTTATCAAAGAACCTCAATATCGGCGAATAGAGTTCCCTAAAATTTTTCAATTGCGGTAATACGATATTTTTTATTTTATTTCTTTCCTCACCAAAAGTCATGCGAAAATCACCATTATAAGACAGACCAACGATTGTTTTGTAAAATTCAATTTCAGAAAAATGTTCTGGAAGTAAAAGTAAAGCGGCATGAACAGCCGAATGTAAATTTTGCATAACAGCCGTATGTAAATCGGATGTTTCCTCTGCCTCAATGAGCTTTAGAACCGGTTTATGCAATCTTCCTGATAAATAAAGAAAATTCCAATCCAATAAATCCTCCACCAATGAAATTTCCGAAATTACTCCATATTTAATAATTCGACCTTCGGAAGTTTTCACTAGAGTATTGTAGTAGACTTTAGCGCCCCAAGTCTCTTGTAATCGACTAATTGCCTTATAGCCCAATAGTCGTAGAGGTTGTGCATAATGTGTTGGATTTCGTCGAAGATTCTCTCCATGCCATCGATTTGGATTACGAACGACAAATATTAAATCCAACATATTACTAGAAGGTTCACTCGTTTGCTTTAAAGCTCCAGAACCGTAAGCAAAGCAATACTTCATACCCTGAGGAAAATCCCTCAGAATTCGTTTGAATTGAGATAATTGCGCAACTTTTTCAATCATTTTTTTTTTTTTTTGTTTCGAGGATTTGTCCTAAAAACAGAGAAATTTATCTTCCGAGACTATATTCCAAAATAATTCGAAAGCAGGAAACTGGTCGACATTTAAAAAAAAAAATTTTTCGCCACTACAATAAATAGTAAATCCTAACTATATACTATTTTAAACTATTTTACTAATTTTTTTTATCGAAATTTACAATCAGCCACGTCGTTTTGCAATAGTCACCGCAGTTAACCTATAAAATTTCGTAACAATCGTAACAATCTTTACTTACTTAAATTCCAGTTTTTTTTCTCTCCAATTTTAGTTTTTGTTGATTAAATGAAATCAATAAACATTAACACCACAATCTTAGTTCTTTTATTATAAATAAAAACATTTCAATTCAATGATTTCAATCAAATCACAACGATTTTAGCTGTTTGATGTTTGCCATTTTTAAAGCACACATAAGATCAGGAAATTATTGAACGAGAAATAAAAAACTTCACTTCTAAACAATTATTTACAACAAATTCATAGATCTTTGATATATTTTATATATTTCATATATTTTAGTCATTTTTAATAGAACCAGTAGTAAATTGGAAAGTCAAAACGACGCAAGGGAAAACAAAAGGAAACTATTTCTATATTTCTAAACCCCGGGCTCCTTGGAACGAAGGTTCGACACTGTTTTAGAAAATTCCATTTTGCGCGCGCATCCTGAAAAAAGGCGCAATTTTTAAATATAATAAAATTGGAGTCTGAAACTGAATAATGGAAAGAATCATATTATTTATTGTATAAAGAAATTTTCAGTCTTAGACTACACATACTTTTAATACATATTTATGTAAATTTATATAAATTGTATAATCGAATAAACTAAAAAATAGTTAATGTAGGAAATTATTTGCTGATTGAGAATTTTTAATTAAGGAAGATTTCGACTATATCAGCAATTAGTGACATCTATTAGACGTCAATTGAACTCTTTGGTTTAGAGTCAGGTGTTATTCTTAAGATAATTATTCCGATATGGTTGTCGGTAAATAATTATATTTTTGAATTTAATTTTTGATCTGAAAAAATAAGCTGCGTGAACGACTGCACTGTGCATCTGTGAGGACTCGAACCCCAGTTAATAGCTGCCTTTCGCGGGACTAACGCCTACCAATGCACCATGCCAACACAGCCTGGACGTTCACGTTTCTTATAATCTCAGATCAAGCCCATACACTAGTCGAAGAGCTGTATAGTTAATGTAGGAAATTATTTGCTGATTGAGAATTTTTAATTAAGGAAGATTTCGACTATATCAGCAATTAGTGACATCTATTAGACGTCAATTGAACTCTTTGGTTTAGAGTCAGGTGTTATTCTTAAGATAATTATTCCGATATGGTTGTCGGTAAATAATTATATTTTTGAATTTAATTTTTGATCTGAAAAAATAAGCTGCGTGAACGACTGCACTGTGCATCTGTGAGGACTCGAACCCCAGTTAATAGCTGCCTTTCGCGGGACTAACGCCTACCAATGCACCATGCCAACACAGCCTGGACGTTCACGTTTCTTATAATCTCAGATCAAGCCCATACACTAGTCGAAGAGCTGTATAGTTAATGTAGGAAATTATTTGCTGATTGAGAATTTTTAATTAAGGAAGATTTCGACTATATCAGCAATTAGTGACATCTATTAGACGTCAATTGAACTCTTTGGTTTAGAGTCAGGTGTTATTCTTAAGATAATTATTCCGATATGGTTGTCGGTAAATAATTATATTTTTGAATTTAATTTTTGATCTGAAAAAATAAGCTGCGTGAACGACTGCACTGTGCATCTGTGAGGACTCGAACCCCAGTTAATAGCTGCCTTTCGCGGGACTAACGCCTACCAATGCACCATGCCAACACAGCCTGGACGTTCACGTTTCTTATAATCTCAGATCAAGCCCATACACTAGTCGAAGAGCTGTATAGTTAATGTAGGAAATTATTTGCTGATTGAGAATTTTTAATTAAGGAAGATTTCGACTATATCAGCAATTAGTGACATCTATTAGACGTCAATTGAACTCTTTGGTTTAGAGTCAGGTGTTATTCTTAAGATAATTATTCCGATATGGTTGTCGGTAAATAATTATATTTTTGAATTTAATTTTTGATCTGAAAAAATAAGCTGCGTGAACGACTGCACTGTGCATCTGTGAGGACTCGAACCCCAGTTAATAGCTGCCTTTCGCGGGACTAACGCCTACCAATGCACCATGCCAACACAGCCTGGACGTTCACGTTTCTTATAATCTCAGATCAAGCCCATACACTAGTCGAAGAGCTGTATAGTTAATGTAGGAAATTATTTGCTGATTGAGAATTTTTAATTAAGGAAGATTTCGACTATATCAGCAATTAGTGACATCTATTAGACGTCAATTGAACTCTTTGGTTTAGAGTCAGGTGTTATTCTTAAGATAATTATTCCGATATGGTTGTCGGTAAATAATTATATTTTTGAATTTAATTTTTGATCTGAAAAAATAAGCTGCGTGAACGACTGCACTGTGCATCTGTGAGGACTCGAACCCCAGTTAATAGCTGCCTTTCGCGGGACTAACGCCTACCAATGCACCATGCCAACACAGCCTGGACGTTCACGTTTCTTATAATCTCAGATCAAGCCCATACACTAGTCGAAGAGCTGTATAGTTAATGTAGGAAATTATTTGCTGATTGAGAATTTTTAATTAAGGAAGATTTCGACTATATCAGCAATTAGTGACATCTATTAGACGTCAATTGAACTCTTTGGTTTAGAGTCAGGTGTTATTCTTAAGATAATTATTCCGATATGGTTGTCGGTAAATAATTATATTTTTGAATTTAATTTTTGATCTGAAAAAATAAGCTGCGTGAACGACTGCACTGTGCATCTGTGAGGACTCGAACCCCAGTTAATAGCTGCCTTTCGCGGGACTAACGCCTACCAATGCACCATGCCAACACAGCCTGGACGTTCACGTTTCTTATAATCTCAGATCAAGCCCATACACTAGTCGAAGAGCTGTATAGTTAATGTAGGAAATTATTTGCTGATTGAGAATTTTTAATTAAGGAAGATTTCGACTATATCAGCAATTAGTGACATCTATTAGACGTCAATTGAACTCTTTGGTTTAGAGTCAGGTGTTATTCTTAAGATAATTATTCCGATATGGTTGTCGGTAAATAATTATATTTTTGAATTTAATTTTTGATCTGAAAAAATAAGCTGCGTGAACGACTGCACTGTGCATCTGTGAGGACTCGAACCCCAGTTAATAGCTGCCTTTCGCGGGACTAACGCCTACCAATGCACCATGCCAACACAGCCTGGACGTTCACGTTTCTTATAATCTCAGATCAAGCCCATACACTAGTCGAAGAGCTGTATAGTTAATGTAGGAAATTATTTGCTGATTGAGAATTTTTAATTAAGGAAGATTTCGACTATATCAGCAATTAGTGACATCTATTAGACGTCAATTGAACTCTTTGGTTTAGAGTCAGGTGTTATTCTTAAGATAATTATTCCGATATGGTTGTCGGTAAATAATTATATTTTTGAATTTAATTTTTGATCTGAAAAAATAAGCTGCGTGAACGACTGCACTGTGCATCTGTGAGGACTCGAACCCCAGTTAATAGCTGCCTTTCGCGGGACTAACGCCTACCAATGCACCATGCCAACACAGCCTGGACGTTCACGTTTCTTATAATCTCAGATCAAGCCCATACACTAGTCGAAGCTTATTTTTATACGCAGCTTATTTTTTCAGATCAAAAATTAAATTCAAAAATATAATTATTTACCGACAACCATATCGGAATAATTATCTTAAGAATAACACCTGACTCTAAACCAAAGAGTTCAATTGACGTCTAATAGATGTCACTAATTGCTGATATAGTCGAAATCTTCCTTAATTAAAAATTCTCAATCAGCAAATAATTTCCTACATTAACTATACAGCTCTTCGACTAGTGTATGGGCTTGATCTGAGATTATAAGAAACGTGAACGTCCAGGCTGTGTTGGCATGGTGCATTGGTAGGCGTTAGTCCCGCGAAAGGCAGCTATTAACTGGGGTTCGAGTCCTCACAGATGCACAGTGCAGTCGTTCACGCAGCTTATTTTTTCAGATCAAAAATTAAATTCAAAAATATAATTATTTACCGACAACCATATCGGAATAATTATCTTAAGAATAACACCTGACTCTAAACCAAAGAGTTCAATTGACGTCTAATAGATGTCACTAATTGCTGATATAGTCGAAATCTTCCTTAATTAAAAATTCTCAATCAGCAAATAATTTCCTACATTAACTATACAGCTCTTCGACTAGTGTATGGGCTTGATCTGAGATTATAAGAAACGTGAACGTCCAGGCTGTGTTGGCATGGTGCATTGGTAGGCGTTAGTCCCGCGAAAGGCAGCTATTAACTGGGGTTCGAGTCCTCACAGATGCACAGTGCAGTCGTTCACGCAGCTTATTTTTTCAGATCAAAAATTAAATTCAAAAATATAATTATTTACCGACAACCATATCGGAATAATTATCTTAAGAATAACACCTGACTCTAAACCAAAGAGTTCAATTGACGTCTAATAGATGTCACTAATTGCTGATATAGTCGAAATCTTCCTTAATTAAAAATTCTCAATCAGCAAATAATTTCCTACATTAACTATACAGCTCTTCGACTAGTGTATGGGCTTGATCTGAGATTATAAGAAACGTGAACGTCCAGGCTGTGTTGGCATGGTGCATTGGTAGGCGTTAGTCCCGCGAAAGGCAGCTATTAACTGGGGTTCGAGTCCTCACAGATGCACAGTGCAGTCGTTCACGCAGCTTATTTTTTCAGATCAAAAATTAAATTCAAAAATATAATTATTTACCGACAACCATATCGGAATAATTATCTTAAGAATAACACCTGACTCTAAACCAAAGAGTTCAATTGACGTCTAATAGATGTCACTAATTGCTGATATAGTCGAAATCTTCCTTAATTATAAACTAAAAAATACTTTTGTTGTACAATTATTCACAATCAATTAGAATATAACTACAAAAGCGTTATACAATATATACACATTAAATCATATTTACAATGTGACACACGTGACACACTTTTAAACATTTTCAGCTGCCAAAGAGCAAACGAATTAGAGGTTATGTTCGTAATTTTTTTAATGAAAAAAAAACAGAGGAAAACAAATCTCAACGTAAACTATACTGTTTGAACTATTCACTAAATCCAAAATAAGCGATAAAAACAATTTTCGACTTTAAATTATAAGCACGAAACTTAAAATTACGGTAAAAAAAAGACAAACATAACCTCAAAGTGACTTCATTTCTTCGGTTCGCGTCGCATATAATCATTTTTCAAGACGGAAGATTCGTGATTTATAAAAGTAATAAAAAAGTAAGGAAGATAAAATATTTTTTCAAAGAAAATTGTAAATGAAAATCGGATAATTTTCGAAAATAAATAAAATAGAACATTTTCGCTAGTTAAGGGGAGATTTTGACTACATTTTTAACTATATATCAAGAAAATGATTAGAATCTTTCAGAAAATTATTTTTATAGTAATTGTTAGAGAGGAAATCAATGGTCAGAATATTTTCTGACCAATATTTTTATTTTTGTTAAAAATTGATAAATTTTAAAATCCAAACGTAATTTTGTAAAAAATATCTTTTTGAATTCATAAAAAAATTGCCGAGTGAAAAAAAATGATTTTTATATTATTTTTGAAAAAAAAACATTGTTTTCAGGTTGAAAATGCTAAAAAAAACATTGTTATTCAATTTTTTATATATATATAGAAATTAATTTCTATATTTTTTCTAACTAATTTCAAATCGTAATTTTATTGTAATTTTTTTTATACCTATTGGTTTTATTTTTAAAAATTATGATTTGAAATTAGTTAGAAAAATAAACAAGTGGATTTCCATATAAAAAAATTTAGTACCAATGATTTTTTTTATCATTGTCAACCTAAAATCAATGTTTTTTTTAAATGCTTCAAAAATAATAAAAATCATTTTTAACTAAAATTTTTTTTCAAAATTCAATTATTTTCTAGAATTTTGAATTAAAATTCTTTTCTTATTCAATTATTCTTAACAATATTTCCCTAAATTATTTTCAATATTCGAAATAAAATTATTTTCCAGAATTTTTATCTAAAATTCTTTAAAATGTCAATTTTTTAAAATAATTTTTGTTCAAAATTATTTTCAATATTCGAAATTCAATTATTTTCTAGAATTTTTAACCAGAATTCTTGTTTAATTCAATTATTCTTAATCATTTTTATCCAAAATTATTTTCAAGATTTAAAATTCAATTATTTTTTTATAATTTTTAACTAAAATTCTTTTCTAATTCAATTATTTTTAATAATTTTTCTCCAAAATTATTTTCAAGATTTAAATTCAATTTTTTTTCTAGAATTTTTTAACTGTAACTCTTTATAAAAAATCAAATATTTTACACAATTTTTCACCAAAATTATTTTTAATATTCAAAATTCAATTATTTTCTAAAATTTTTAACTAAAATTATTTTCTAATTCAATTATTTTTTATAATTTTAAAAAAATTTGCTTAGAAATTCAATTATTGTTCATAGAAAGAAAAGAAGTTCATTTAAAGAAATTCTAGAATTCATTTGTTTGCAATTCAATTTGACGAAATTGCAATTCAAAAATATTTCTATTAAAAATATATTTTCAAAAATTCAACTAATATCAAAAGAATTTCAATTGAATTTTACAAAAACATATTTTCTACAAAATTACGAATGGATTTTAAAATCAATCAATTTAAAAAAAAAACAAAAAATCCAAAAAGGGTGAGAATATTTTCTAAAAATTACTATAAAAATAATTTTATGGAAGATTTATTGAACTGCAGTTTACAACGTCAAATCTGACGATTTTCTAAGTAATAATTTTGAAATTCGTCAGGTTTGACGTTGTAAACTTCAGTTCAATGAAAATTTAAATCATTTTCGTTGATATAGTTAAAAATATAGTCGGAGTCTCCACTTGAAAAGGAACAAACTTTAAACTCTACCGAAGAGAGAGTATACGTAATTTTTCTTCTTATGACTTCTTCTCGATGCGAATTTTATACAGACAAGAATGAGAATTGAAGCTGAAATAACGTACAAAACAACACAGATACTAATGTCAAAAATATTAAAGTCCCAGCCTAATCGTCGATGACTGACAGCACTACTAGCCACTAATTTCCTACTCAATATTTTATTATCACTTTCATCTTCATTATCCAAATGAATATTACTTCCATAGAAACTTATTTTGTCGTGTCGATATTTTTTCTTTAAATACAACAATACCTCGTTCTCGATCCAATTATTATTCTCATCTCTACACGAGGGACAATCTTTCTTTCCTGGGTATTGAATTTTCCTATGCTCCGGATCCTCAGTAGGATCGCCCGACAATCTTTTATTCACCTCATTGTGTGCTCTCCACAACCAAAGAATACTTTCGTCCTCGCTTTTCACGTCGAATATTTTACTTCTATTTGCCATTTCGAGGAAATGTTGTGAGCATTCAGCGCAACCGAAAAAATTCTTAACATATCCGTGCATTGCTCGTAAAACTTTAGCGGGATCATCGTCCACTTCGTCGTAATTGTTGTTGGCAAAATTCACTGTCAACATGTGAAACATTGTCCATAAGCCACAGGGATAACCTCTGAAGGTCTGAGTACTTCCCCGACAGCCAATCCACTCGAGATTTCCCGAATAAACCGAATTCACTTCGTTTTCAGTCTCTGTGACTAATTTACGAAAACTTTTACCCGCTATCTCGTTCTTGTCTTTTATTATTTTGTAAAGAGACGATAAGAAAGTGGCTCCATTGTTTTTCATTGGAAAATAAGACTTTAAAATCATTAAATAAGCCTTCAGGGCGTTCATCTTTTCGCCTTCGATATTCTTCGACAGGGGAATTTCATGGAGAATCGAGTAACGCAAAGCTTTCTCCAAATCAATCTGATAGGCAACGTCTCCAAATTCTGAATTTTTATTCTTCTCTTCTGGAATTTTCTCCATAACTTCGGAAACGGACGTTGCTTTCAAATTGTCCTCCTCTGTGTTTGATATTTTAATCTGAATTCCAAGAGTTTGCATGTAATCCTTGATTGTTTCTTGTAAACCTTCTCGTGTTTGGTCCTTTATACTGATTGGCTTTTGAGAACCATCTCGTTGAAGGAGAATTAAACTTGGAAATTTCGTGACTTTTGCCGCTACACAAAGTAATTCATTTTCGGACGTTGCTCTTCGAATGTGTAGTTCCGAGTGATTTTGAAAGTCCAAAATCACACTAGTTCCCAAATAAGAATCTGGTGTTTCAAATATCAGTAAGCAATATTTTACATCGTTCGTTACGGCTTTCCAAATACTCTCGAGTTCATTTTTTCTGCAAACATTAAAAAGTAATATTAATAAAATAGATACAAAATATTTCCATTTTTGTAATTATTTAATTTTGTATCAGGATTGACACAAAAATTTAATTTTGCTTTTTCCGGATTTCAAGAACGAATTTTTTACTTTTTTCCTAATTCTAAAGAATATTCTGATTAACTCTAAAAACGTAGAAACGCTTTTAGAGTGAATCAGGAAAAAAGTCAAAAATACACAAAAAATGTTTATAAAACATTTATTTAGAAATATCTTTATTTTGTCTAATAATTTTCTTCGAATTTTTAATTAAAATTTTTTAAAAAATCAATTATTTTTACTAACTTTCCTCTAAAATTATTTTCCAAGATTTCAATTCAATTATTTTTTTTTTCATTCAATTACTTTTAATAATTTTTCTCCAAAATTATTTATAATATTCAAAATTCAATTATTTTCTAATTCAATTACTTTTAATGAATTTTCTATAAAATTATTTTCAAAATTCAATTATTTTCTAGAATTTTTTACTAAAATTTTTCTCTAATAATTTCCAATAATTTACCATCAAAATTATTCTCATTATTCAAAATTCAATTATTTTCTAGAATTTTTAAATAAAATTCTATTTCTAATTCAATATTGCTTTTAATAATTTTTGTCTAAAGTTATTTTCAAGATTCAAATACAATTATTTTCTAAAAATTTTAATTGAATAAATAAAATTAAAGAATAAATTGAATTTTCAACTATTTTTAATAATTTTTTTCTCTAAATTACTTTCATTGTTCAAAAATCAATTATTTTCTGGAATTTTTAACTAAAATTTTTCTCTAAAACAATTCTTTTCAATAAATTTCCTACAAAATTAAAGAGAATTTAAAATTTTTTAAATTATTTTCTATTATTTTTAAATTTATAGAATTAAACAAAATTAAATAACATTAATACTTCATTTATTTTTTAACTAATTTTTCTCCAAAATTTTTTTCAATGTTCAAAAATCAATTATTTTCTAGAATTTTTTACTGAAATTTTTCTCTTAATCAATTTTTTTTTAAATTTCCTAAAAAATTTTTTTTAAGATTTCAATTCAATTATTTTTAGAATTTTTAAGAAAAATTCTTTTCTAATTCAATTATTCTTAATAATTTTTCTCTAAAATTGTTATCAAAATTTTAATAAAATTATTTTCTAGAATTTTTAACTAAAATTTTTCTCTAAAATTAGGTAACATTATTTTGAATAATTTTTAAGAAATTTCTTTGAGAATTCAATTATTTATAAAAAAAAAGGCAGTTTATTTGAAAAAATTCTGAAATCCACTTGTCTTAAATTTGACGAAATTTCAATTATTCAAAAATATGTTTCAATTAAATATAATATTTTCAAAAATTTAACTAAAACTATTCAAAATACAAATGTTCAAAAATTTAATTTTGAAATCTTTTTGGATTATTTCAAGAAATTTCTATTTATAATTTAATTTAATTTGAAAATTAAATTTTCAGTTATTATTTTCTCGAATTTTTATCTAAAATTCTTCTTGAAATCAATTACTTTTAATAATTTTGAGAAAGTTCTTTGAGAATTCATTTATTCATTTATTATGTGAATAAAAAATAAAGTTCACTTCAAATACTTGTTTTCGATTCAATTTGACAAAAAAATTCGATTATTCAAAAGTTTTTTTAATGAAATGTATAATTTGATAATTTAATTATATTCAAAAAAATGTGAATAACAATTTCTCAAAATACTAACTTCCTTATAGGATTTTTTAATTAAAACTATTTGAAATTCAAATTTTCCAAAATTTTATTTTGAAACCTTCTAAAAATTCAATTATTTATAAAAATTGTAAATCCAATTCTTCTAAAATTCAAATATTTTTGAAATTTCTAAGTAAAATTATTCTCTAATTAATTTATAAGCCACAATTTTATAATTCTTATAGAATTAAATTATTCCAAATAAATTCAATTTTGATTCTGTAAAGCTCAATTTTTGTTAGAAATAGAAAAAAATTCAAAAATTCGTAGAGATCGAAATTCATGGTGATTTTAAAGTTTATAAGTCAAACAAAAGAAAATTTAAGAAGAATTAAATCTTTTCAATATTTCCAATAGATAATAAAATTCAAAATTTTCTTATGAATTATGATCAACAAGTTTTGAACGTTCGAATGAAAGAAATATTTTTTATTACAAACATTTTTAAAAATTACTCATTGCAAAAAATAATCAATTTTACATTTAGAAAAATTATAATTAATTGTTTTTGACTGTGGCGCAAAATTATTTTAATAGAAATTTAATTTGAAGAAGAAATAAATTAATTGCGTTCATTTGAATGTTGAATTTCAAACAAAAATTAAGGAATTCTAAAAATTTAATATTTTTCCGAATACTTTTGATAAAGTTTCCTTTTCGGATTTCCCTAAATTGTGGCAAACCTGTTTGCTCAATTTATTTAGAAAATATTAAGTTTGAACAGATGTTATGTATTTTCATTCTCAAATACCTGTATGGAACAATATTGGGCCACGAAGAACCTCGTCCCTCCTGTTGCTCTATTTCTAATTGTTTAATTAACAAATTCTGTAAACTTGTTGCGTCATTTCCTTTCTTGATTTCTAATCCCAATGTTCCAGGTTTCGAATTTACAGAGAAGAACTTTATCGTAGGATAATGCATAACTTCATATTCTCGACAAATTGGATTATTATCGTCATTAGCACAGTCTATGACTCCGACTTGAACTACTGTTCTCCAGGCTGAAATAAAGAAATTGAATAACAATCAGTGTTATAAGAATAAATCAGTAATATAATTAATATTTAATAAAAATTATAAGTTAAATAAAAACATAACATATCTTACATCTTCTATTTGTATTACACATTAAATCTATATATAAAAAATATTGAAATAAATTTCGTAGAATAAATAAAAAAAAACTTGAAAAATTTCTCTTATTTTTACTACGAAGAATACTATTTGAATACTTACAGACAATACTACTGGCAAACGTTTTCCAAATTGGAGCAAATCTTATACAGTGACCACACCAACTGCTATAAAATTCCACCATCCAGCTGGATTTGCTATTATAAATATGTGATTTAAAATTAGTTATATTCAGAATAACTACATGATCACTAGCATTATATAGCCCTTGATTATCAGATTCCTCCATTCCAATAGCAAATGAATTCACATATTTTCCATTTAATAAAATTAATAAAAATATCTCCAGTAAGAGTATAAAACAAAACTGTCTCTTCATTTTTTTCACTTTTAATATTATAATACCTTATATACTTTATACAGATTTATTATTATACTTTTATATATAATGTATATCTGTATACAATCTTTAAATGTTTGTTTTGATGAGCATTTTAAAATAAATTCTTGCACTTAAGTTATAGCATTATCCTTTCGTTTTCACTGTGCTAACGAGAGTCTGTCGTGAACCAGCAGGGAACTGTCAAAAAGTATTTCCTGAAATGTGTAATTGTCGTATAAACCTTGAACGACAGCACTTATTACAGAGACACTTGTTCTCGTTCTCCTGATACGTGTTAATTTATTGTATTTTGTTCCACATCCTTTCATGTTACTGTCACGAAAAATGATAACAATTGCGAATGTTAACTTTTTTTTGGTTTTATTCACATATTCGATGAATTACTATAAATATATTATTCTTAACACGTATGTTTTTAATCTCTTTAATTAATTAAAAATAGCAGAAAAAGAGGTATTTAAATACTATGTAAACAATTGATGTATTGAACGAAAACGACCTTATGCAGTTATTTGTTATTTGACACAGGGCACTAACACCCTCACGTAGTCTACACGTCTTTTATACATGTTTGCGTGTATAAACACATGCGGTTTTTGAATTGTCAAGTGTCATTATCATTATAGATTCCTTAATTACATTTAATTATTTGTAAATCCTCATTTGTTCGTTATGTAAGTGTTAGAAACATTTTTTATTACATAAGTTCCAGAGAATTTTTATTTTACGAACAAATCGTTCAAATTAATTTTCTAAACATAACCTCTAAAAATGAGATTAATAAATTCCAATTTCCAAATTCGATAAATTGATACGATTTTTAACATTTATAAAAAGCATTATTTATTATAAAATTATTTGAAATTTTCTTTTGCAGATTAATCTGAATACTGTAGAAACAGGACGGAATTATAATTCAAAAACTTTATAAACAACAATAAGACAAATTTAACGAATAATGACTGACAAGAAGAGTGTTTTAATGATATGTTTAGGTATGTTATTACTAGAAATTATTTTTAATGTTTATGTCAGTATTTTTTTATAAATATATTTTTTATAAACAATATAATTAAATAATATAATATAATAATATTTATTATTGTTTATCTATTATTTTTACGATTTATATATACCATTTCTACTATTAAATATACGATTTAATATTAAGTATATTAAAAAATGTGTATTATTATAATGACACGTTCTTTTTCAAGTACATCAATGACATTCTTTAAAAATTTGTAATGTTTGTAATGAACACTATCGTTCGTGTTTTCAAGCAAAAATAATCAGTAATTAAAAATATATATGAATTATGGTTTCTCGTTGACAGGCAATATATGCCGTTCGCCGATAGCCGAAGCAGTATTCGACGATTATATTAAAAAAAATAATTTAGAGGAGCAATGGGAGGTGAAGAGCGCCGCTCTAATAGGTTATCATACTGGCAAAAGTCCCGATAAACGAGCAATGACTACACTTAAAGAAAAAGGAATTACGACATATTCACATGCAGCAAGACCTGTAAAACATTTTTTTTAATTTACTTTCTATTTTTTATTATTTTATTATTCACAAACTATTTATTAGTTATTTGCACATGAAATCAAATTTTTTGAAATTATATTTTTTACAGATAAAGAAAGATGATTTTGTGAATTTCGATTGGATATTTGGCATGGATGAGGAAAATATGGAAGAACTGGAAAGAATGAAACCAAAAAATGCTAAAGCAAAATTAGAACTCTTGGGAAAATATGATCCTGAAGGAGAAATAATTATAAGAGATCCTTATTATGTAAGAATAATTTTCGATAATTTCTAAAATTCCTTTTCGTAATAAATTCCCTCTGATAAATGTTTTTCTTTTTTCAGGACAGCGGTCGAGAAGGATTTGTGAAAGCATTCGAGCAGTGCACAAGAAATGTTGAGGCATTTTTTAATGAACATAAATAGAATAATATTTTTTTAAGGTTATGTTCTAAATAGATAATAAATATTTTTAATTTTTACATTTTTATTTTTCCATTCTTCCCCATTCTTTGAAAAAAACGAAATCTGAAACGATTTGGATGAGCGAAATGAACAAGAAAAACGCGAGTTTAAAATAAGTAATAAAAAGAATAATAAAGTAAAATAAGACAAAATATTCTATATAAATCTCTTTTTCGAAAAAATAAATTAATTACGAAGTTTCTTGTTATTTAAAAAAATAGATTTAAAATAAATTTTCAAATAACGGAAGTCATTACCTATGTAAACAACCAAAAAAGAATCAAATTGGCTTCAAATTACTGCAAGTACTTCTGGTTCGGTATTGCGGGCATTTAAAAATGGCGACGCAGTTTTATTTGTTGTAATGTTCTTTCAAGGAACAATAAAAAGTATCTTTTCCCTTATCGCGAATCATGGGTGAAGTTTTTCCATTAAAAAAATAAATGTACAAAGTACTATGTTACATTATTTCTAAAAAGAAAAGTTAGAAATTCTCCAGAACTCGAAGAACGCGAACTATTCATTTTTTGTTAAATTTTGAAGGTTAGAAATAAGACAGATCGTCTCAAAATATAATTTGACGAGTAAAATACGACACATATCTATATTTAAATGCAAATAGATAAAAGGTAAGAAATAATTTTTCATTAAATTCCATTCTCATCTACTATTCCATAAATAAACAAAGAAATGTAAAATTTCTTTGTTTCTTATTCTTTCATTTCATACATTATTACGCATTAACACCGCAGTGGCGGATTACAATGGATCATTTTTCTCGCGAAAAAGTTTTAAAAAAAAATAAAGTCACACTCATTATTAATATTAATTCATATTAATTAAAGATCGAGGGAACTCACGTCCCCCTGGATCACCGACTGATTAAACATGTATTTTATTCATTTTATTGCAGAGAAATGTTTCATACTTTAAGAAGTGAATACTTTTTTTAACATAATTGAAATATAAAGCGAATTCGAGCATAAAGCAGTTTTTGATTATCTAATCAGAACTTTTTATAACAAAAGAATATATTTTTGAACAAAGAAATTATTTCCACTAATATCAACATTGTAATTACTGTCATGAACGTAAAATTAAACATATTTTTCGCAAAAAATTGTAATAAATTGTTGAATTAAATCATTAATTGAAAATTCAACAAGATATACTTTTTATATTTAAGTTCATTACACTTTTAGAAATTAAGTATTTTTAAAAACATTAAATTTAATAACATTTCAGGCAGATATGACCTCTGCAAGAAATGATTTAAACTTTTTGGAATATATAGCTCTTATTTTTCTGATTTAAATAATTATAATTAAGGGATGCAGTTTTTATTTAGAATACGTTAAATCTATTATTCTATTATAGAGTCTTATTGTAGTTTCTACTGTATTAGTTACTTAAAAATAACATATTATAAATACATTAACTTTTTCTTTTGATTTGTGGATTAGAACTGATGTTTGCAGAAAATAATTATTTTTTTAATGTAAGCAGATTATTTCGCGTTATTTTACTAAGTTTATGTAAATGTGTATTTAAGCTTTAAAGTATTGTATAGTTTGTTAATTAAATATTGTGTATAAATTATTAAATTAGATAAATGTAATTAATCATAATTGTATCTAATTTAAGTTAACGTATTTATGAGTAAATTTTTATTTACATAATAACTTTTTTTTAAATACTGTAATATTTAAGTAGTTTTAAGAAAATTAATTGTAAAAATGTATGTCATTTGAAACTGTACTCTTCACACAGTTTTCATTTGAATACATTTGAGCGTTTAAATCGAAAAATTAACTTTTCAGGAAGTTATCATTTTAAGGTTATGTTTGTGTCATTACCTTAATTAAAAATTTCTGTTTAATTTTGTAATAACTAAAATTAGTTTATTTTATTTTTTATTGGAAGCTGTTTGCCTTTTTTGTGAATTTTCATTCAAAAAATTGCAAACATAACCTCAAATTTCTCACATTAATTATAAATATTTTTCTATTTTTGAGTGAAAAGTTAGCTTTTAGTTTAAAACTCCAATTTTGTAAGTAGAGAAGCAGAAATTCATTATTTCAGGAACAGAAGAAACGAAGAAACTTTCCAGAAAAAATTGCAATGTTAGAAAATGTGTTATTCGAAAACACTCTAAATAATGATAAGATAAGCTTAAGAAAATGACTATTTATTATTTTATAAACTATTTTTAATATTAAGGTCAACAAACATTCATCTGTCACGTTAAGTAAATAATTTTTTTACTAAAAATTCACCAAAATCATGAAAAATCCAATCCACTAATCAAAATTAAAAGCTAGTGTTAGACTATTGTTTTTACCCGAAAAATCTCCAACGATTTTTCTATATTTTTTTTTATTTCCACAAACATTCTTTTTATTATTTTTTTTCCAGGATTCAAAAATGAGTAGCCCTCGTGTAAGAGAACTCGAGAAAAAAGGAATTGTTTTCAAAATCGTTGTCTCAAAAGAAGACATAACATCACGAGTTTTATTGCCCTACGAATGCTTCGTTTGTGGATGTAAACTTCGCTCAGAATCAAATGCCATAGCACATTCAAAAAATCCACATCACATACAGCAATTTAATCGTTTTCAGCAATTTTTCAATATTATTCCACCAGCAAGCTTCAATGGTAGAGTGTCACTTTTATGCAAATTTTGCGACAATCAACCATCGTGGGAAGATTCTAAAGAACACACTCAAAAGCACAATATTACCTCGTGGCTGAAACCCGACAATTTATCGCATACTTTCTTTCGACACTACATTTCTCAACACAAGAATGTCTACAAATGCAATTTATGCCAATTTCTCTATGGCAGTTGGTTTCATGCCATCGATCATACAAAAGACACACGACACATGCAAAGTTGGAATCAAACATCATCAGCGTCGGCGAAATATTCCCTCTATGAAAATACCGATCCTCAATTTAATCTCTTAATCTCGAATCGAATTTTCATTGGTGATTCGAGTTTGTATCATTGTCATGTTTGCAATTTATCTTTTAGTCACATTGAAAGTGTGAACACTCACATTGAGAGTATTGAGCACGAAAATCTTATTCAGAGATATACGGACGATATTTTTGAATTCAAGACCAAAATTCCGAAGAAGATGGAATGGATTATAGACTCTAGTTTTTTTATCGTAATGAAGGACAAGATCTATTGTAAGATCTGCGATGTCTACTTTACTGAAATCAGTGAAATAGAACCTCATGTGGAAACACATAAAGCGGATCGAGAAACCGCAGCGAATAACGACAACGAAAAAAAGGATTCACAAGAAAAACCAAATGCTTCAGTGACAGTATTCAGCAATCCAAAAACCGTTCCCATAGGCGAGTGTAAATTACAAATTCCCCCGCATCTCCACTGGGTTGTTCAAGGGCACAAAGTTCTCGTGACTCCCACAAGCTTATTTTGCACAATTTGCCAAAAAATCCTCACCAACAACAGCGCTATCGAAACTCACCTCAACAAACACCTTCAGGTACAGTGGCAAAAGTCAAACCTCCCAGCAGGTTATCCAACAGGTCCTCCAGCTTCTGATCTATCCTCCAAAGATCAACCTTCCTCTTCTTCGAGATCAACAGGAAAAACAAGATGGAACGATGCCCCAAATAGAAAAATCCAAACAATCGATCTCACAGAAGACGAACCACCTTTCAAAGGCTGCAAACTAAAAGTTCCCGATCATCTCCGCTGGGTTGTTATCGATCACAAAATTGCCGTCAACGAAACATTCCTCTTCTGTCCCATCTGCAAAAAATCACTCAACGACAATGCCTCCGTCGAAAGTCATCTTTTGCAACACATCAATTTGTCCTGGCAAAAGCAGAATTTACCCGCAGGTTATCCAAGAGGTCCCACCTACGTTCCTAGGGCGGAGAAAAATAAATCCTTCCAATTATCAATTCCAAATGTTGCCGGAAAGAGAAACGCGACAAATTCCCTCGTCACCGAACAGACGAAAATACAAAAAATCGACGCAAGTTCGAAGCACGTGTTCAAAAATGTTGGGAATTCGATACAAATTCTGCCACAAAATACAGGCGCAACGATTCTCAATGTTCCTTCGACAAAAAAGATGAGTGTGGATTCAAGTGTTCATTCCCCGGTTCTGACGACTTCGGTCGCAAATACTAGTCCGAAAAAGAATCTCAATACAAGACCGAATCTTGTCGATCTGATGAAAAGGAGCATTCCTTCAATGGTGGCCAATTCCGTGCAAGCGAAAACTGTTCCAAAAGTGCAAATTCTGTCTGGAAATTCAAAGACAAATCAGCAAACGACGACGGGGAAAAATAAGTCGACAGTTCAGCCGCCGATGAATTCTTTTCCTGTTGCTAAACCACCGGCGAAAGTTCATTGCCTGAATGTTCCACAAATTTTGGGGAAGAATTCGAATGCTAAACAAAATTTAGTGAATCGTGGCGTTCAAGAAACTTTAGTGAATCGTGGTGTTCAACAAACTTTAGTGAATCATGTTGGTCAAGGAAATTTAATGAATCATGTTGGTCAAGGAAATTTAATGAATCCTGTTGGTCAAGGAACTTTAATGAATCCTGTTGGTCAACAAATTTTAGTGAATCGACAACCTTTATTAAATTTCCCCCCTAGTAAACAAATCAATCAACAACCTCTGTTAAATTATCCTAACATGCAAATAAATCCTCTAAATCCACAAACCGTTGACCAACAACTAGAAAATCAACAAATGAACCAACAACTAAAAAATCAACAAATGAACCAGCAGCTAAGCAATCAACAAATTAACCAACAACTAAAAAATCAACAAATGAACCAACTGCTAAAAAATCAACAGACCCTTAACCAACAACTAAAAAATCAACAAACCCTAAACCAACAACTAAAAAATCAACAAACCGTTAACCAACTAAAAACCCAACAGACCATTAATCCCATAAATTTGCCCATTAATCAACAACAAAATAATCCTTCTAATCAAAAACCTTTAACTAATTTCAGACCGTCGAATCAGCTATCGAAAAAAAATCTCCAACTAACATCGCAAAGTCATCTTTTCAACACCTCAATCATGACAAAATTGCACAAGGCAAACTATTTGTTCTTCACGAGAAATGAAATCTACGAAATGTCTCCGGAGAAGAAACGAAAAATTATCCTCAGTTCTCAACTTTCGTTCTTCGTCAAATATTCGAGTGAATATTTCATCTACTGTGTTGTTTGCGAGAAAAGTACGCCGTACAATTTGCAAAATGTCTACGAACACTGGTGCTCGTCGCAGCACAATGAATACTTGACAAAACTCGAGGAGGACGACAAACAATTCACGAATTATCCAAATCAATTCAGTTGTCTTGCATTGTCAAAGGAATTTATGGTCGACAATCAAAGTTCAGATTTGAAAATGTTCACATGCTGTGCTTGCGATGAAATTGTGCCGGATCAGGATTTAATATTGCAACAGCATTTTCGTGACGAGAAACACGTGAAGAATGTGCAGAGATTTCGAAGACATTCGCAGGAGATTTGTAAGGATATTTTCCCATTGGTCGAGAGTAATTGGTATAGTATTGAGAAATATTCGTGTTGGCCGTGTAAGAAATTGTTGTCGAATGAATTACCATTTGCTGAGCACTTGGAGAGTAAGAAGCATTTGAGTGTGATGCAGGCGATGAGTGATGAGGAGAGGGATAATTGCTATTTTGATTCTTGTGCGGTTTGTGGATTTCTTTGGTTTGGCGATGGTGAGGAGTATACGAAGCATTGTCGACAGGACAGTATTCATAAGGATTTGACGAGAAATATTGAGGACAGGATTGATTATATGCCGGAGGAAGCGAGTCATTTGTTTGCTTCTTTAGGGAATGTTATTTCAGAATTGATGAAAGAGGTGGAGAAAGTGCGTTATGATCTGGGGAAGGAGAGCGAATTGATCAGGAGTCTTGAGGTTGCTGTGAGGAGAAAATTTCCAGAAGCTAAAGCCTATCCTTTCGGTTCGAGAGTTACTGGTCTGGGATTCACGGAGAGTGATATTGACATTTTTCTCGATTGTGGTGAGTTTTTGATTTTAATTTCGGAAATTATTGTAGATTTTTTGGAATTTTTCCTACTATTTACAAAAATATTGTCAGATTCGTCAGATTTAAATTTAATTTAGTTTCATTTAATTTAGTTAATTTAGTTAATTTAGTTAATTTAATTAACTTTTTAATTATGTAAATTTAAAACCAGTTGTTATTGAATATTTTTTAGGTACCGAAGACTTGAAGCTGAATAATTATTATAAAACATAAAGAAATCGATCACTCCGAGTCTTCGACTCGGTGCAATCAATTTCTTCATGTTTCATAATTATAATTAAAGATGACCTGCAATTCAATTATTATTTTCTAGAATTTCTAACCAAAATTCTTCTTTAAATTAATTATTTTTAATCATTTTTTTGTAAAAGTTACCTATTTTTGACAATTTTCAAATCCATTTGTTTACAATTCAATTTTACGTGAAAATTCGATAATACGGAAATACTTCATCTAAATTAGAGATTAGAAAAAATTTTTAAAAAAGTTATTTTAAATTAAAAAATAACAACTTCAAGTAATTTAAAAAAAAATTCAATTAAACTTTTTCAAAAAAATTAATTTTACAGAATTGTTAGTGAAAAGTATGAAAAATTCAAATTTGCAGTGATTACACATTTTCTTAAAATTCAATTCTAAAAATTCACGCAAAAATGCTTTTAATATTTAATTATTATCTAAAATTTTAACTCAAATTCAAATTTTACTAGAAAATTCTACGAGAATTCAACGGATTTAAATACAAAAATAAATTATTTATTGAATAATTGAATGTTTCTTAAAATTGATTTCTCATAAAGAATTTTATGAACAAATTTTTAAATAATTGAATTCTTTCGTCGAATTTTATTAAAAATATTAAGAATAATTACTTTTTTCGATGAATTCGATTAAAAATTTAAAAATAATTGAAATTTTTGCGATAAGTTTTATTGTTTATGAAAATAATTGAATTCTTGCAACGAATTTTATTATTTATGATAATAATTGAAATTTTGCCAACAATTTTAGTGGAATTTTTGAAAATAATTAAATTTCGGAGAAGAAATTTATTATTTATAAAGATAATTGAAATTTTTACGGGAATTTTCTAAAATTTTTGAAAATAATTGAATTTTTGTGAAGAATTATATTTATTTATGAAAATAATTGAATCTGTAAGAAGAACTTTAATACTTTAAGAAATAATTGAATTCTAACAAAGGATTTTATTACAAAATTTTAAAAAATTAAATTCCAGAGAAAATTCGTATTGTTTGTGAAAATAATTGAATTTAAATTAATTTTTTGAGAATAATTGCATTTTTATCGATAAATTTATTTAAAATCGTATTGAAAATAATTGAAATTCTTCGATGAATTTCATTATTCATAAAAAGAATAATTGAATTCTTGAGAAAAATTGAATACTCGTAAAATTTTTTATTACCTAAGAAAATAATTGAATTCCTGTGTAGAATTTTATAAAAAAATTTGTAAATAATTGAATTTCTGTAAAATTTTTATTATTTATAAAAATAATTAAATGTTTGCGTTAAATTTTATTAAAACTTTTTTTTTAAATAATTGAATTCTTTTAGAAATTTTTTATTAAAATACCTAGTAGATATTGAAAATCATTAAATTTAGGAAATATTTTCCATGACTTAAAAAATGTTTCTCAATTTCAGGTGGTTTCTACAATGGAAATTTCGAGCAACATATTGATTTAATCGATAAAATTCATCACTGTTTGAAACTCGATTCACAAGCATGGAGCGTGGAAAGAATAATCGAGACGAGTCGAACGCCAATAATAAAAGTCTACCACAGTCATTCGCAGTTGAAATGCGATGTTTCTTTTTCAAACGGATTAAGCGTTGAAAATACCAAGTTATTAAAGTAAGTTACTTTACTCTATTTTGTAAATTTTATTTTTGTTCAAAATTTAATTTTTTATTTTTATTCAAAACAAATTTTTCACGTCGGCGAAGTTTACAACGTTTATGATCAAAGATTGGAATAAAAATACATAAATATTTTTTCATTTTTATTCAAAATTTGTAAAAACGTTTTTCATTTTAAAATAAATAAAAATCTTTTTTTAGATGTTACCTCACTGCTTATCCTCAGTGCAAGGAAATGATTCTTTTTATCAAAAAGTGGCTAGTACTTTGCCAAATATCAGGATCGCGCCATATAACCAATTATGCAATGTCCTGGTTTGTGATTTTTTACCTGCAAACAAGAGAGCTTTTACCTAGTGTTGCTTCTTTGATGAAGGGCAATCCACATCCAAAATCCATTTTCGGTACGTTTTTATAAAATATTTTTATAATAATAATTAAACAAAATTTGGTGAAATTCACAAATTTTGTGATTTAGAGAATTTTATTAATTTAAGGGTTTAAAAAGTGAGAAAAGAAATAAGAAAGAATTAGGTGAAAAAGGGGACTAACAGTGATCCCTGAAATATAAGAATACATTTTCTTCTAAATTATTGATAATAAAATTCACCAAGGTAACAAAAAAATAAAAATTTTAGAATCTTAGAATTATTTTCCATTTCAGGCTGGCCAGTAGGTTCCAGGGAATTCACAGTTCCAACAGCATCTCTATCACTGTCGACGAAGGAACTCCTAAAAGGATTTTTCTCTTTTTACGCTGATTTCGATTATAGACTTAACGTTGCATGTCCACTTTTAGGTGAAATAATAACGAAAAAAGCATTTTTAGAATTAAACACATTACCTCATGAAATGAAACCGTACGTTGAAGTTATAAGCAACGAAAGTGATCCGGAATTTTTCCGCATCGATTCACCAATGTGTATACAAGATCCATATGATCTTTCACATAATTTGACGAAAGGCGTAAAGAAAGTTATTGTAAATAGGTTTCGAAAATTGTGCGCCAAAAGTTGCCGGCTTCTTTCATCTTAAGATTTTAATCTATTTTTAAGTGTGAATATAAAATATATTTCTTTAACTTTTCTAATAACGAGAAATTAAAATTAAAATTTTATTTTTTATTTAAACTTCATTGTTTTAAAAAAAAGTTATTTGTCATATTGTACGATATTATGGAAGATAATAAAATACGCTTAGTTTGTTATAATAATAATGGTCTTTTGAAATGAAAAAAAAAATATGAAACTTTAATGAATTTATTGGACAATACAGGAGAAAAAAAATACGTCATGCGCATATGTCAAATAGAAAATCGGAATAGAGACTTATTATAATTTATTTACACGTGATCATTCCATTTTAAATATAATCTATATCCAGTCATTCATCATCAAGCTACATACATACTCAGGAACGTGAAAAAAAAATGTTTGCAGTCAACTTCTTAATTTTTTTTTTTGCTTTAGACTTTGACTTTTCAATTGTCTTTTTAAATCAAATTTGTTGCTATATAATTGTTTTTGTAACCACCAGTGGTTTTTGTGTATTTTTTTTTGTTTTTCAGCAACTTGAATTTTGAATACTATATAAAATTAATACTAAATTTCAAACTATTTATAAAATTTCTATGCTTGCTGCGGCAAATTGATAAAATGCACTTGAACTTCATTAAGGTAAGATGAGAGCCTATGAAATGTACAAATTATTTTTAATTCTTCTCTTCTTTCTTTTCCTTATTTTCGGCTTCGCCTTGTGTCTCGGTATTTTGGCTTTGACTTTGACCTCCTTCACGTTCCGCGGCCATCTGAAATTATTTAATGAAAATTTATTATTTTTTAATAAATCTAATTTTTTCGAAATATAATTCTTCAAAAATACGATTGCAGACTTAACACTCGATAATTAATTTTAAAAAAGTAACAAAAAAGTGTAGCTTTCAAACTAAAAAAAAAGTAGTAAAAAAGTAGCTATCGAAAAATTAAACTTGACGACCAAAAAAACTCGTTTTAGAAACTTTACAAAACTGCCAAAAATTCCATTGTATATTTTATTTTCCTATAACTTTTTTCTAATTTTTATAAAAAATATTTACTTCTTTCTTATCCTGATGCTAAAAAATTAAATTCCTGCAATTTATTATTCATGAAAGAATTTAAATATTTATAGAAATAATTTAATTATTGCGAAGAATTTTATTAAAATGTTTAAATAATTGATTTCTTTCGACTAATTTTATTCAAATTCTAATTTTAACAATTGAATTCCTGTGAAATTTTTATTATTCATGAAAAGAATTGAATTCTTACGAAGATTTTTACAAACAATTTTTTAAAATAATTGAATTCTGTTTGGAAATTTCATGAAAATAGTAGATACTGAAAATCATTGAATTGCGAAAAGTTTTTAAAAATAATTAAATTTTACAAAGAATTTTATTAAAATATCTCAAGATAATTGAATTTTCGGGAATAATTTTGTCATTTATCGACAAAATTGAATTCTTTCGGAGAATTATTTATGTAAATAATTGAATTCTTGGGAAGAATTTTATTAAAAACTAAGAGAATAATTGAATTAATTCAAAAAAATTTAATTAAAACTGTATTTAAAGTAATTGAATTCTTTCGAACAATTTTATTAAAATAATTGAAAATAATTGAATTCCTGTGCAAAATTCTAATATTTTTGTAAATAATTGAATTCTTCCCAAGAATTTTAAAAAACATATTTTTAAATAATTAATTTTTTCGAGGAATTGAAATTAAATTTTTAAGAATAATTATAGATTTCTCGAGCAATTCCTGTAAAATTGTATTAAAAATAATTGAAATCCTGCGATGAATTTTATTAAAATTTTAAAAAATAATTTAATTCCTGCGAAGAATTTTATTAATTATGAAACTTATTGATTACTGACAAAAAATTTATTGAAATGTTTAAAAAGAATTAAATTTCTGTGAAAAATTTTGTCATTTTTTAAAATAATTGAATTCTTCATAAGAGAAAAAAAAATTATTTGTGAAAATAATTGAATTTTTCGATTAATTAATTAAAAATAGTATTAAAAATAATTGAATTTCTTCGATGAGCTTTATTATTTATAAAAAAAAATTTAATTCTTGCTTTGAATTTTATCAAAAATTTTTTTAAAAATTGAATTTCCATGAAAAATGTTATTATTAGTGAAAGAAATTGAATTATTGTGAAGAATTGTATAAAAATTTTGTTAAATAATTGATTTTTCCAAAATTTTTTTGAAGTTGCTATTCTAATTTAATTGAATTTCTGTAAAAATTTGATTGTTTACGAAAATAATTGAATTTTATCAATTTTTTTTTAAAAATAATTGAATTCTTTTGCGAAATTTAATGAAAACACTAGATATTGAAAATAATTGAATTTCGAATATTTTTCAAAAATACTTGAATCGTTTTAAAGAATTTGATTATAATTTTTAAGAATAGTTTTTTGATTTCTAGTATTAACGAAATTAAAGTAGTGAAAATTTTCAAAAAAACAGAAATAGTATCTTTTAGTGGATGATATCTAAAAAAGTACCCAAATAGTAACATGACGTAAAAAAGTAGTAAATAATAGGTTTTAGTAGTTGAGTGCGAATCCTGCGATTGTATTTGAAAACAATTTTTAAAACTAATTAAAAAACCCTAACATCACGTGAGGACAGAGTATCTTGATTATTATTATATAATAATTTTTTTAAATACCTTTTTGTAGGCCATTTCGAATAATTTGAGACTTGCTTGTTGAAGTTCGTTAACCTGTTTCTTAATTTCCTCTGGGTCAGTTTCGTCTTTCTTTGCTAGAGTTTCCCTCATCTTTGCAATCATTTCCTTAAGTTTGTCACACTGTAATGTTACAATAACATCGATTAAACAATTACAATAAAGAATTAATCAAAATTTACAATTGATAATTAATTAATTTCAATTTGCAATTATTAATTAATTAATTAAAATTTTTAATTTGTTAGTTATAATTTTTACATATTCTCATCAAATGAGAAGGTATTGTATTAAAAATATAAACTTTGTTAAAAACTACCTCCTCTTGTGGCAATTGAGACTTGAATTCTTCCATTTTAGCCTCAGTGTCATGGACAATTCCTTCTGCTTGGTTTACAGCTTCAACACGATCCTTCTTTATTCTGTCTTCCTTGGCGTACTGTTCGGCTTTCTTCACCATATTTTCAATTTCGTCCTTACTTAAACCACCGCTCGACTGAATTACGACTGAAATCATTAAATTGCAATTAATGAGAAGTTTACAAATATTTTAAAAAGATGCTTGTGATCCCGAGTTTTAAACTCACTTTGTTGTTCTTTGCCGGTTCCCTTGTCTCTAGCAGAAACGTGAACAATACCGTTCGCATCGATGTCAAAAGTGACTTCAATTTGTGGTACTCCCCTTGGCGCAGGAGGAATTCCAATAAGGCTAAATTGTCCTAGGAGTTTATTGTCAGTCGCCATTTCACGTTCACCTTGATGAACTTTAATTTCCACTTGTGTCTGACCGTCAGCTGCAGTCGAAAACACCTGACTCTTCTTTGTCGGAATTGTCGTATTACGCGAGATTAATCTCGTGAAAACTCCGCCCAACGTTTCGATACCTGCAAAATTTAGTTTCGATTATAATTTTAACAGGGTTGCCACAAAAAATTGATTTTGTTTTTCCCTGATTTCCAGACAAAATTTTCACTTTTTTCCTGACCCTAAAGAATATTCTGATTCACTCTAAAAATTATTAGATACTTAAGAAAAACATTCTATTACATTTACTTACGAAGTATTTAAATATTATTTTTCCACAGGGTTTTAATATTATTTTTAATACAATTTTAAATAAATTCAAAAATGTTATTACTTTTGAAAATAATTGAATTTCTCCAATCATTTGTAACTTCTCCAAAATTCAATTTTTTCCAGTACTTTAATAAAAATCCCTAAGTTTTTCCTGAATTCCCTGACCTGTGGTAACCCAGTTTAAAATTACGAGAAGGCATTTTATATACTTTTCGAGGTTTTTATAGAAAAATTGACTTTTTTATAGGGTTGGCAGAAAAAATTTGATCTGTTATTTAGACATAATTTTAACTTTTAGATTCCTTTAACTAAAAATTTTTCTGTAAAAATTTTAAAAAATTTTAATAATTTGAGGGGAAAAAATGAGTCATTTTCACGTCAGAAATATCACGATTTGCAAAGAGTATGCCGATTTGCGCAAAACTTTGTAGGATTATAGTTCTATATAAGAGACTTCTTTCCCCCAAATTTTTTCAAAAAAAATTCAAAATTGTTGAAGATACGCCATTTTGAATTTTAATATTAATTTTATAAAATTTTGAATATCTCGGAATATTTTTTGTATGGATTTTTATGAAATTTACACATTTTTCAGGTAAAAGTATGTACTTTAAAATGCAAATAAAGTTAATAAAAAAAAATAATTTTTAAATAAAAAAATTAAAAGAAAAATTTCTAAACAATATTTTGTTGGGGGAAAGAAGTCTCTTATATAGAACTATTATCTCACGAAGTTTTGCGAAAATCGGCATACCCTTTGCAAATCGTGATATTTCTGACGTGAAATGCCTCATGGAAATAGGTAAAAAATAAAGTTACCGAGAGAAAGGGGCGTAACGTCAAGAAGTAGAACATCAGTGACGTCTCCTGCGAGAACACCTCCTTGAATGGCGGCACCAACAGCAACGGCTTCATCAGGATTCACAGCTTTCGACGGTTGTCTTCCGAAAATGTCCTGAACAGTTTGTTGCACCTTCGGCACTCGAGTCATTCCTCCGACTAACAGAACATCTCCAATGTCAGATTTTGCAACTTCCGCGTCGGAAAGAGCTTTCTGGCAAGGTTGAATTGTCCTCTTAATTAAATCACCAACGAGACTTTCGAATTTGCTTCTCGAGAGCTTGAGATTAAGATGTTTCGGTCCACTCGTGTCCATTGTAAGATAAGGCAGATTAATATCAGTTTGCAATGAACTTGACAACTCGATTTTCGCTTTCTCCGAAGCCTCCTTCAATCGTTGCATTGCCATCGCATCTTTGGTAATATCGATTCCTTGCTGGAAAATTATCGAAATTTGTTAAATTTTTACCTTTTTTTCATCTCGAAATTTTAGTATTTACTATTTATTAAAATTCTTTAGGAGCTGGATCGAGGAACCGACGTTTGGCAATAAATAGAAAAGTGTCCGTTCTTCGATCCGTCCCCTCATTTAATATTAAATTAAAAACAAAATAACTTACGTCTTTTTTAAATTCGGTTACTAAATAATTAACTAAAGCATTATCGAAATCTTCGCCACCCAAGAAAGTGTCACCGTTCGTAGATTTAACTTCGAATACTCCTTTCTGGATTTCAAGAATGGAAACATCGAAGGTACCGCCTCCCAAATCGTAAACAGCGATACTGAAATAATTATTTTAGTAATTTTATTTTTCCTAATCAAAAATAATAGAAAAAAGAAAATAAAAAATAGTGATAAGTTTAAATTTATATCTACATTTTATCTTCGGTTTTATCCATTCCGTAAGCAAGGGCGGCAGCAGTTGGTTCGTTGATAACGCGGAGAACGTTGAGACCCGAAATTTGTCCTGCATCCTTCGTCGCTTGTCGTTGAGAATCGTTAAAGTAAGCAGGCACCGTGATGACTGCATTTTTAACTGGCGTATTTAAATAAGCTTCGGCAGTTTCTTTCATTTTTGTGAGGACAAAAGCGCCAATTTGACTTGGAGAGTACATTTTTCCGTCTCCACCCTGAACCCAAGCGTCGCCGTTCGAGGCTTTTACGATTTTGTATGACACCATTTTCCTGAAATTAAAAATTAAAAAGGGAAATTAAAAAAGATAAAAAGGAAAATTAAAAAAGAAAATTAATAAGGAAAATTAAAAAAAACTGAAATCTATATTAATAATCGTTGTATTCCGGTAATCTGTTCGCAATTTGAAGTTTGTTGTTGTTTGCTAAAAAAGCAAACAACAACGAGAAATTCAATTAAAGTTGTTTTTATAAATAATTAAATTTTTGCTAAGAATTTTACTATTTATAAAAATTATTGAATTCTTGCGAAGAATGTTACTATTTATAAAAATAATTGAATTATTTCGAAGGATTTATTAAGATTTTAGAAAATAATTGAATTTATTCGAACTAGATTAAAAAAATTTCTTTTAATTTAATTCTTACGACGAATTCAATTAAAATTTAATTTAATTTCAATTATTTTCAAAGTTTGCAATATTTGGAAGAAAAGTCGAAAAAAGTCGAAAAAGTTATAATATCCGAGGCCTGATCATTGAATTCTCGTAATAAATTTTATCCAAAAATTTGAGAATAATTGAATTCCTAATTAAATCCTAATTAAATTCTTTTGAAGAGTTTCTTTGAATTTTCGTTAAAATAATGGAGTTTCTTTAATAATTTTAATTGCAAATTTTGAAAGTAATTGAATTTTATGAACAATTTATTTCACGTTTGTTAAAATAATCGTGTTTCTTAAAAATTAAAATTAAAGATTTAATTTATATTGAATTTCATTAAAATTTTTAAAAAATAATTAACTTCTTCTGAGAATTTTATTACAATTTTCTAAAATAAATTAATTCATTCAAAGAATTTTATTAAAATATAATTGTAGAAAAAAATTAAATTCTTTCAAAAAATTTCTTCAATTTCTTAAATATAATCGATTTCATCAATAATTGTAATTAATAAATTCACTATTGAAATTTTGTTAAAAATATTGATAGAAAGTTAAACTTTTTAAAACAATTTTATAAGAGTTTTTGTAAATAATTAAATACTTTTCAAAAATGTTTAAAATTTCTTTTTAAAAATACTAGTTACAGTATTTTTTCAAAATATTTGAATTTTTGCAAAGAATTTTACTATTTATAAAAATAATTGAATTGTTTTAAAGGATTTATTGTAATTTCAGAAAATAATTAAATTCTTTCGTTAAAAATTCTATTGAAAATAATTAATTTTTGCAAAGATTTTACTATATTAAAGAAATAATTGAATTGTTTTGAAGGATTTATAAAAATTTTAGAAAATAATTGAATTCTTTCTAGAAATTTAATAAAAAATGTATTCAAAATAATTATTAAATTCTAATAAACAAATTATATCAAAATTTTTTAGATTATTGAATTCCTGAGAAGGATTTTTACTCAAATTTTTTTTAAATAATTGAATTCTATTGAATCATTTTATTATTTGGGAAAATAAATTGAATTCTTGTGAAGAGTTTTGTTAAAATTTTTAAAAGTAATTGAATTTCTGAGACGACTTTAGTCATTTCTGAAAATAATTGAATTCTTGCGAAGAAAGAAATTCAAATTTTTTCAGAAATAATTTAATTTTTGTGAAAAATTTTATTATTTGTGAAAATAATTGAATTCTGACGAATAATTTTATTACAATTTTTTCTTAAATAATTGAATTATTTTGAAAAATGTTATTAAAAAATAATAGATATTGAAAATCATTGAATTAGAGGATAATTTTAGAAAAATAATAGGAATTTTGCCAAGAATTTTATTCAAATTTTTAAAAATAATTGAATTGTTTCGTAGGATTTATTAAAATTTTCGAAAATAATTGAATTTCTTTGGAAACTTTTATAGCGAATTAAGTAAAAAAAATTTGAGTTCTTTCGTGAAATTTTATTGAAAATAATTGAATCGTTTTGAAGGATTTATAAAAATTTTAGAAAATAATTGGATTCTTTCGGAAATTTTATTGAAAATAATGAATCTCTGCAAAGATTTTACTATATAAAGAAAATAATTGAATTTTCTTTAGAAATTTTTTTTTAAATTTTGTTGAAAATAATTGAATTTTTGCTATTTACAAAAATAATTGAATTCTTCCGAAAAATGTTGTTGTTTCTGAAAATAATTGAATTCTAGCAAAGAAATTGAAATTTTTGAAGATATAAACAATAATAATTAATATAATAAATGAATTTTTTAAATTGTGATTATGAAATTATTCAAAAATTTGTATTTGGAAATATGTAAAAAAAATTTGTCATTTTCATAATAATAATAAATTGAATACGTAACATTTGCTAGTTAAAAAATAAAATCAAAACAGAAAATTAAAAAAAGAATTAAATTTAAAAATGTTTACAAATGAAAATATACTTACATGTCTTTCTTAACTTCTGCGTCTTCGAATTTACGTCCAATGAGACGTTTTGTGGAGTAAAAGGTATTCGACGAATTCGTGACTGCTTGACGTTTTGCTGGCATTCCAACCAAACGTTCTCCTTCTACAAATATTAATAATACACATTTTTACGTTTTAATTTAATACAAAAGAACTATTTATCTCTAATTTTAAGTTTCCTTCAATTTAAGCTCAAGAATCATTCAAAAATCTTCGTTTTCTAAAAATTTGTAAGTATTACGTAATCTAACGTACAAAGTGTCATTCCCACTTCGCCGACTATTACGTAAATGGTACATGGGCCCTATCAGCATGGGAAATAGAGATAAATACAAACCTTTGGTAAAAGCAACATAGGATGGTGTTGTTCGTGAACCTTCAGCATTTTCGATAACTTTCGGATGCTTACTTTCCATGCAAGCGACACAGGAAAATGTCGTTCCAAGATCTATTCCAATAACTGCTCCTTTCACTCCTTCAGATCTATTTAGAAGAAATGATGAATTTTTACGAAATTTTCAAAGAGTAGAGACTTTTTATAGTCTCTTTAAACTTTTGAATATTCCAAACTTTAGATTTAGAGTAAAGTATCGTTTTTACAAAAGTAATACAATTTCCAATTTGCAAAGAAAAAGTTTTTCGATATCTTAGCACTTACTTGTATCTGTACTGATTAATTTCCCCGTTTCTTTGTGAATAAGCAACCATTGGAGCCGTTCCCTGAAAAAAAGTAAAAATTAATTACCTATTCCGATTAAAAATAACTTAGTACTGAATATAAAATCCGCAAAAACAAAGTAATGATCTTTCGACAAAATTTACATCGACAAACGGTTTTAAAAGTTTAAAGGATTTAAATAATTACATCATAAAATTGAACAGAGAGATTAATTTCCGAAATATATTACAAACCACGTGCTGCATTTACAATCAATTTCTTCTGTAAGATTTAAACACAAAAGACAAGACACAAGTGTAAGTATAACCTCAAAAACTCGAGAGTTCAAATACTTGAGTATGTTAACAAATTCGATATTATTTTGTGACAAAAATGTATAAAAACGAATTTTATATTCCAAAACTTACATTTTTTAGGATGGTGCTGAATTCCTGTCGCCTTCTAATATTGGCAGTGACACCGGTACAACCTCGAGTAAGAATTCGTGCAGCGGACAACATTTTTTAAATACTTTTATAAAATTCTATTTCAACTAAAGTCTCACTAAAAGATAATTTAATTTTTCCGATTTATTTTCAATAAAAATCCACGGTTTTAGCTTCCGTAACGCAACTCCACGTGCAATGATGCAAGAAGAAAGAAAATTCGTCTGTTTCAGTCGCAGTTGCAAACTAAACCTTCAGAGGGCGTCAGTGTTTCAAATTTGGAACGACGAAAATTCTAGAAAATTCTTGAAAAATGTATAAATCATATAAATCGTAAGGTAAAGGTAAATAAATTTTAATCTAAATAGTAAACAAAATACAGTTAATATTCTAAAATAAGTTTTTATTAAAAACAAGAATTTTTTCCATTTATTGTATCAAAGCAAAAATGTACAATCCGCACAAAAATTCTGATTTTTTCGGCTTTCGCATTTTTTTGCAAAAAGAAAATGACGTATGGGGAATTTAGCGCAATTTTTGGGAATTTAGCGTAATTTGCTGAAAACAATGAAAATTATGTCTATGGGAAAAAATCATTGCGCAGTGCGCAATTTAACAGCGCATTTTCCTTTTCATTTCATTTTCTTTCTGCTTGGCGCCAACTTCAACTTCCGGTTCATTTCCAATGGCGTAGCCATATCCAAAGGGGCCTTCGTTAAAAAATGCAGAAAATAAAAAATTTTTCCTAATTTTCACTAATCTGAACACATATATTTAAAATGCAATGAAACTTAAATAAGTAAAACAATATATAAATTACAATAGTAGCATATTTAGGAAAAGTATAATTTTCCAAAGACAATGGAATGCGTGGGAGGGATAGACGTGACGTTGAGGGTCAGAACCAGAGATACCAACGCAATATCCGCTTTCAAACAAGTTTTCTCTATAAAGTAAATTACCAATTTGTTGGCATTCCTTTTTTTAAACCCCCTTCCACTTTTTACACTATTGATTGCATAAATAAAAAAAAACATTTTTTATATTATTTACCCTATTTACCACAATTTACTAATTTCGAAATTTTACATTAAAGCTAATTTTTTGTTTACTTTTCACGACAAAAGTGAATTGAACAATTGACATATTTTATATAGGCCGATTACTGTTTATTGTTTTCTATCTGTATTTAATAATTCTCCATCAATTGTTCTGTATTTTTAATCTCATATTTTTTAGGTTATGAAAATAATAAATTTTTTGATTCCTTGCGGCTAATTTTAATGGGATTCGTGGGATTTTCTCACTTTTCTGAATTTTGAGGTTATGTCATTACATTTTCTAGTTTACATAAGCACATATAGGGGGCGTATTTGGGGGAATTTGCCACAAATAGGCCAACCACAGGCCAGTATAGGCCTGATAAGCAGATGGTGAAAACCGGTGCCGCCATCTTGTTCGAATGTGTTAAATGCACAATAATGCAGTCGTAGCGAGATTTCGTTACGTTCTGTCTACTTTAATACCGTACACATTATACATATTTATCAGTGTGTTTATTAAATATCTGTTAAGTGTTTTGTCAAGACAGTAAAAATATTCGCGAAGTACATAGAAAAATAAATCTTAGAAGCAGGTAAGATAAATTGTACGACAATTATTTCTATAGCTAAGAGGCAAATTTTTTTATCTGTTTATCATTTTTTTTATAACTTTAATAATGTAAATATATAATTGGAATTGGAGATAAAATTTATTTTAAAAATTTAAATTTAACATTTATGTCTATTTAATTGTGGTCGGTAAAAAAAATAAAGCATAAAAGAGCGCGTGTTTTCTATATTGTAAAGCCTATACATGTATTCATTGGCGTATGCAACAACATTTCCCTTTTAGGTTAAGTTTCTTATAAAAAATTGCAATTTTGAAAAAATTTATTAAGGAGGACATATTTTATTTGTTTGTAAAATTGTTAATGATAAGTGAAATAAAAAACTACGCGAAAGATTGTTTTTGACGTCTAAAAATGTGTAAATGTGTTTAACGGGTTGCCTATATAAGAACTCGAGTGTAACACACCCTTTATCAACGGAAAATAAATATAAACAGTTATTTTCAGTTTTATTATAGTTCATTACTTTTTCTTCTTACTTGTACTTTTTATTATTAAAAATAAGCGATTTTTTTGTCGATTTGTTAAACATTTTTGTTTTACTTTTTGTCAGGCAACATAACCTACAAATCGGTTTTTTCTTTTTGACACAACAATTATTGTTCGATTGTCTTATTAAAAGTTAATAAATAGTTTTGTTGCAATTAAAAACAATGTATTATCTTATTTTGTTCATAATACAAGAATCTCATTTGGTGTATCTTAATAATCTCTTTTTAATGTATAAAAATAAAGGAAAGAAATTAAGGTCAAAAATGAAAATTATGCCCCCTAGTGGTGGCTTGGTAAAATAATAGATACATTTTTATAAAAGTTATTAACTACTTACTTCTATTTATTTATTAAACTTGATGTAAATTGACTCTAGACAAACAGTATTATTTGGAATTTATAAACAATTTTAATACTCACATGACTCACATAGACACAATTGTTCGCTTATAAAAACTCTCTTTGCGTCTAGTAACAACACTATTAAATCCAGTTAGCGACTTAGCGCCAACTTAGCGTTACTAGAAGATCAAACTTCCGCCCTTCTTCAATAATTACAAGAAATAGGAATCTATTGTTAACAAAATTATTTTGGAGTAATAGAGTTTTTCTGAAAGAATCCAAATGTTTTTGTATGTTAATTTTGGAAAATGAAATGAAAAATTAAATAAATATTGAAATATTATTTATTTTAACTAATTGTACAATTTTTTTTACAGAAACTATCAAATATGCCGAAAGCTAGGTTAATAACCCGGTCGGTGACAATGGTTCGTCCACCAGATATGACGCTAAATTTGGAATGTGTCGAAGAGCCGTTGAGCGACGCTCAATTGAGCTTTCGCACGAAATATAAAGAAAATTTTAATACGGTGAGATTTTAAAAATTCATAGAAAAAAGGTGAAAGACAGAATATTTGACTAATAATATGAATTTCTCTCAGGTTTCTAAAACCTTAGAAGACTTAGTGAAAGAACGTGGTGGTAAACTTATTTGTCAAACGGGCGTTGTTGCAGGATACGAATACACACTGTAAGTACATAATAATTACAATAAATGGAAGTAAATTGTAATTATTGCAGTTATTTATATATTTGCAATTATTATTGTTATTATTTGAAATTATTGAATACATGTAATTTTTTTTAATTAACAGACCCAGTAGTGCTCCTCATACCACGACAGTTACAACTAATGCACAAGCTCAAGTACTCAGCGTTGTAAGTAGAAAACAAATTTTGAAAAATCTTGAAATTCTTATAAAGTAGGTAAAACATAATATTTATAAATGAAAGGATTTATCGACTATTTTTTTTTTAAATGTCACTTTTTTCTACTTATTTTCAAAAATTGTGACTTTTTCGACTTTTCTTCAAAATATTGCAACAACATACCAAATATTTAGTATAAAATGCAACTTATTTCGATTTTTATATTGCGGTAAAAAATAAGTATTCATATTCAATATAATAAGATTCATATCTTTTTAAAATTATTTTTGAATCATTTTTTTCTAAAATTTTAATGAGAAATCTTCAAGTGTAAATTTTAAAATGAAAATTAGCTTCTAAAAATTATATTAAAATATTTTTGATAAAAGTATTTATTGGAATTTTTTCATTCTAATTTTTTAAAATTTAATTATTTTCACTATTTTCAATTACATATTTCAGAAAATTCAAATACATACAAAAATAATGACATTAAAATTTTATAGAATTATTTTTAACATTTTAGAGAAAACAATCGTGTTCAAAATTTTTAATTTAAATTCTGCAGAAAATTAATTATTTTTTTTTTAATTATCATAGAAAAATTCTTGTAAGAAATTATATTATTTTCAAAAAATTATATTACAATATTTTAAAAAAACTAATTCTTAAAATTGTTTTATCACAATTTTTAAAGATTCAATTATTTTCGAACAAAGTAAATTAAAATTTTTTAAATTTACTTTTTTAGACTTATTAAAATTTTGGAAAAATCATGCTCATATTTATATTTAAAATTCTTGGAAAATTTGAGAATTCTTTTTATCTTTTTCAAAAATACAAAAAGATTTTATCAAAGTTCAATTATTTTTAAAAGATTTGACCAAATTTCGATTATTTGGAAATTTTTCAATTGTATATAATTGAAATAATATTATCTTTCAATATTTATTTTTAAATTTTTTTAAAAAACTAATTTTAAGAATTTCTTTACTATTATAATTTCTTTAAAATAGTATAATTTAAAAAAAAAACATGGACGGTTACAATTATTATAAAAAAAATTTAATTTTTGTATTGAAATAATTGAATTCTCGAAGAATATTTGGAAATCTATTACAAATAATTGATTTAAAGATGAATTTTAGTTAAAAATTATAGAAAATAATTGAAATTTGAAAAGGTTGAGTTGTAATTTTTAGAAATTATCAAATTTCATAAGGTTTAAGATAGAAATTTTTTAAATTTTATTTCTCGTGGAAGAACAAATAAGAAGTATTTAAATATTTATTTAAAAAAATTATTCGAAAGTTTTGAATAATTCAATTTAGAAATCAGTTAAAGGGAAAAATCGGGGAAAAACAAAAAAAAATTTCGTAACAACACTGAATTAAATGACTTTTTTGTATTTTTAATCGACTAAAGCGATTTTTTTTGTCCCTTAAAATCGATTCGAGATCTGTAATTAAGAAAATATAATTACACTGGATTTAAAATTTTGCAGAATCAAGCAATACAAAACAAGGCTCAACCGATAAAATTAAGCATGATAAACAATGCAAACCCTGGACAAGGAAATATTCAACTGGTGATGGATCCTCGAATGGGAGTAATATTGGGAACAGTTGCTACTCAACCAGGTACAGTAAAATAAATAAAATATTTAGTAAATATAAGTAAAAAATAACTACAATAAATTCTTAAATTTTTCATTACATTTAATATCTAAAAATTAATAGGAAATTGTAATAATTACAGGCACACAAACGGCTACGACTATAGCAACAGCTACTCCGCATGTACAAACCGAAAATGTACGTAGTTACAACTATACTGATTTTTTTCATTATTATAATTCATTTTCGTTGAAAATGTTTTTAATTTTATTAAATTTATTATTTATAATTAAGACTAGCTAGTGATAAAGTCTGGGAATTGTATTATTTATTTGATTGTTTATTATTATTTTTTTATTATTTATTATTACTTTCAATTATTTTATTTATTATAATAAGGAAATTTATTAATTTGATTATTTTGTATTTAAACAGTTCAAACCTACTACTGTAAGAACTGCCAGTCGTCCAAGAACAAAAGTAATTCCGATTTCACAACCTGATATTATTGAAGAGGTAAATTTTTTTATATTTATAAAAATTAGTTTATTATTTAAAAGCCCTTGTGAGTTATAGTGAATTTATTTTTCAGCAACCAGCTCCACCTCAACCTAGGAACCGATCGCGTCCAACGCCTACGAGTCACGTTGCACCTGGTAAGTTTACTCATTACACATAAGTACCAAAATTTAAAAAATTAAATTTTTTTGCTTTCTGATCTTAATAAATTTTCATTCAGTTCTCGGACTTTTTAGACTTTTTTCCTCTATTTTCAAAAGGAGCGACTTTTTTCGTCTTATTTTGATGAAATATGATTTTTTTCGATTTTTTTAAAATCCTTTTTTTCCATCTTAAAGTCGATCCGAAACCTGAAAGTCGACCCAAGATTTTTTTACAATATTTAAAAAAAATATTTCTTTCAAGTTACAACCAATGCACCGAGTGTTCAGAATGTAAGAGTCAAGACTGTCAGCAAACAAATTCCGACGCCGGTTGCGCAACACGCAACGAGACCAACTGAAGACACCAGCATCGGTGGAATTGCAGTTAACAGCAAAAATGCCGGTAATTGTAACTAACTTTCAAAAATACTCATTCTATTTAAAAAAAAAATCTATTTAAAGAGTCGATTATTCATAAAATGTCAATTGGCTTGAATTAGTTATCATTTTAAAGTCATAAATTCATTTGCATATTTTTTATATTTTGCTAAACCTTGAAGAATTTTGCGAAATATCAAGTAAGTTTTTAACTCTCAGCAAAGTTTCAATGAAATTTTGTTATAAATATGAAAAATTAAATTTTATTTAGTTGCCAAAAGGGTAATTTTTCTGTATTATTTTTTTCAGTTGGCGATCATATTGAAGAATCGAAGAAACATTTACCTGACGGTAGGGAAATAACGTTCAATAAAATAAATGGAGGACGTACTTTTCCATCGTTGGTCGTTGTTGCAAGACCGAATCTTTGCACGAAAACTGTGACACCGCAAGTCGCGCAGAAAGAAAGAGGCGAATTGGGTAATTTTATTTTTTCTTATTCGTCAAAGAGAATAAATTGTAATTGTTAAATTACATTCACTAAATTAATTAAAATTGTTTTTCCAAACAGATTTACAAGTAAAAAGTGTGCTGATGTTATCGGCGACGAAATTCGCCGAGTGGTTGATACAACAGGGTTTAGTGAGATCCGAGCAATATTGTTCGCAGCATAGTACTAATTATCAAAAAATAAAACTAAAACTTGGAATGTACAGTGATACTGGAACTTTTCCCTATTCTGGAGGATACGTTTGGGTTTCAAGCTGCTGTCCAGACAGATTCGTCTCTGTTTTTGCTGGTTCAATCTTTCAAGGTGCGCCACATCAACCGACAATTCTTCTAAAATTGATCTATCATTGGGCTTGCCAAACGAATATTCAAAACGTCGTCTCTTGGGTGAAAGTGGGTAATATCTATGTGAAAAATTTCTACACAAATCTTCGGAGTATCTGCACGGCTGCAGTTTGGGACAAATGCAAAATAATGGGCGGAAAGCATTCCATGATTCAGGTCGGTGTCATCAGTCTTGGCACGACATCTCAAGATGGAAATTTACGCCAGGTACAATGTCACTTTTATTAATAAAATTCATTTTCTATTTTTAATACAAATTAAATAGATTTCTAATATAAAATTATATAATAATTATTCCTTACAGTAAAGTAAGGAAATTTTATCCAAAAAAATATCAAATTATTCGAAATTTTAAATAGTCTGAATTTTCTTTCTCAAATTAATAAAAATCTACAAGTGGAGATACTGTTGCAATTTTTGAAAAATAATCAATTATTTATTTTTGTATTTAAAAAATTCAATCCTCGTACAATTTTTTGATAAGAATTGATTTGAAGACAAATTTTAGTTAAAATTTTAGAAAATATTTCAAGAATTGCAGTTCTAATTTTTAGAAATAATTAAATTTTAAAAGGTTTTACATTGAAAGTATTTTGAAATATTAATTCCTAGTGGACAAATAATAACAAAAAGTATTCGAAAGTTTTGGAACTTTTTTCATTGGAACTCCTGTTTTGGAACTTTTGTCCTCCAACCAAATATTTATTAAACTAAAATTAATGAAAATTGAAAACGTTTCTTTAGAAATTCTAAAAAATGAGGTTTTTTAAAAATCGTAATTAAAATTTATTGAAAATAGTTGAATTCCCGAAAATAATTTTAAAAAATATAAAAGAATAGGAAATTTTCTCAAACTTAATTGAAATAAATTTTTATATTTCCAAGGAATTTTATTTTTTCACTTTAAATAATTATTTTTAAATTCTATTGTGTTTTTTGAAGAATTGTAACTCAAAAATTGAAAAATAATTAAATTTTACAAAAACATTTTTATTTATATAATTCAATTATCGTCGAATTCTTAAAAGAATTAACTTAAAAATGAATTTCATTAAAAATTTTGAAAAATATTTCAACAATTGGAAGAATTACTAATTTAATTCCTCAATTATTATATTTAAATACTGAACTAATCTAAAAAATTTTTATAAAAAATTTTCAAAAAACTAACTTTTTCAGAATTTATAATAAAAATTCTTTAAAATTCAAATTTTTTAAATCCTCAATTTGAAACCTTTTGAAGTACAATTATTTATAAAAATTGTAAACCCAACTCTTTTAAAATTAAATTGTTTTAGAATTTTTTTAGTATAATTGTTCCATAAATAATTTATACCTAAATAATAATTTTTTATTATGAGAGAAATAGAAAACAATTTAAAGTTTTGATTTGAAATTTGTGGTGATTTTAAAGTTTATAAAGCAAAATTATTAAAATTTAAAAAAAAACAATCATTTTCTTCAAAAATTCTTCAAAAAATTGATTAGTTTTTTAAATTATCTAAAAATTCTTTTTAGAAATCAAAAATGTAATTTACAGTAGGAATTTTTATTAATTAAATTTCAAAAGGTTTTTAAATTGAAATCTTTAAACATTTAAATTGCAGAAAAAGTATAATAATATTTAAATATTTGTTTCTAAAAATTATTAATTTACTACTTTTCTAAAAAATTAGATATTAAAATTTAGAATAATTTAATTTGAAATTTCTAGAAAATAATTGAATTTTGGAAAAATTAAAGTTTTTAATTTTTATAAATAATTAAATTTAAAAAGGTTTTACATTAGAAATATAAAAAAATTTTATTTCCTGTGAAAAAGCAAATTTTAAAATATTAATTTAAGGAAAATTATTGAAGTTTTGAAAAATTTCATTTAGAAATTGTGAGAAAAATTAGGGTTTTGAAAAATTGCAATTAAAATGATTTGAAGATTGTTGAATTCCCGAAAATAATTTTAAAAGATTGAAACCATTGGAAATTTTCTCAAATTTCATTAAAATAAATTTAGTATTTCAAAGCATTTTACTTTCTCACTTTAAAAAAATATTTTGAAACATTCTTGCATTTTTTGAAGAATTATAACTAAAAATTTGGAAAATTATTACTTAAATTTTACAAAACTTGTTGTATTTAAATAAATCAATTGTCGTTGAATTCTTACAAAAATTGATTTAAAAAAAGATTTTAGTTAAAATTTTGAAAATTAATTGAATTTTTAGAAGCGTTATAACAGGAATTTATTTGTTTAACAAAAAAGATTGAAGTTTTAAATAATAAAATGTGGAAATTGTAAAAAAAATTAAGTTTTTTACAAAGGTGTAATTAAATTGTTTTTGAAGATAATTGTACTCCCGAAAATAATTAAAAAATTGGAAACAATTAAAAATATTGTGAAATTTCATTGAAACAAATTTTATATTTGAAAGAATTTAATTATATTACTTTTAAAAATTGTTTTGAAATACAATCGTATTTTTGAAAAATTAGATTTTAAAAAATTATATTTTCTAAAAAATAATAAATTTTGATTAAATTTTATCTAAAAAGAACGTTTTAAAAACTCATAGGTAAAAGTTGAAGTCTTGGGCGTATTGAATCCAGAAACTTCAGAATTAAGATTAAGAGCCTGCGAACCTGTGATTGAAGGCGAAAGATCGTACAAACGTCGATTCAACAATATTTTAAATCCCTTGAAGGACTGGGTTCATAAGGATTCGACAATTTTAACTGATTTCACCGTTGACAAGAGTACACTTCAAGAAATGGGGTTCACTAATGTCACACAATCGGCTTTCAGTGAACAAAATCCTCGAAATGCAACGAGCAATTATCACATTATGGAATATCTCCGAAAAATTGTTCCAAGAATGTTCCAAAATACACTTAGTTTACTCAGTAGGCAAATGATTCAACAATTTCTCGACGAGCTGGTTTGGAGGGAAATATTCGGTGCAACCGCCGCAAAAGGTTTTGAAAATATCATTCGTCATATTGCTGAACAGACAAGATTGGACTCAAGTAAGTTTATATTTCACTTTCATTTGTATTTTTATTTTCATATTCTTTTTGGCATGAAAAATATTGACTATAAGTAATTGAAAATTTGTAAATTACAAGCAAACTTTACAAACGAAATGCGGTCAATTTTTTTAATGTGGATTTTCTGTTTATTTTTCTAGACGATGGTCTTTTAGATCGATTGGCAAAGATTTCGGCTAATCCGTTCATTGACTGGTCCTATTCGAATTCGAGTCCTCCACCACTCGCTCCTATGGTTTCGATCCCGAAGGAACCCAGTGCCGATGCACATTCAAAGCAGAATGATAAATTTGCGAATCAAACTAATAAAAGGAGTAGAAAAAGGGGCTGGCAAACGAGAAGTCCCGAGCCGGAGAGCAAACGTCGTACTCCCGATTTTTCAGCTTTTGATAAAGAGAATAAAATCGGGGAGAAAGTACAACTTCAAGAGTTTTATTACGCGACGATGGATGGGAATAAGGCTCATTCACCGAAAGAGCATAAAAACGCATTTTTGTTCAAGGTTTGGATACTTACCTACTCTCCCTTCGTCTTTATTTCCAACTCTTTTTTATAATTTTTAAAAATATATTCCGAGTTATAGTTTCAACTGATACTAAAAAATTAAATTATAAATAAATAATTGAATTTTATATTTTAATTTTAGTGTTTCCTTTGTAATGCAACAATGAGAAGCAACAGCGAAGTTATGGAGCATATGATCAGTCACGTCCCACGTCAAGTTCCTGGTCAATCAGATTCACCAGTTTGTAGATACTGCTGCAGTGCTTTCTCTTCTCAACACCAGATTGCTATTCACGTGACCGAAACCCATAGTTCTTTCGGTCACTCGGACAGCGATATGGTTGTGTGCGCGATATGCGAGCATAAATTCGGTATGAATTGTTTTCTACAATTAATTACAATCAATTAGTTACATAAATTACAATCAATTACAAAAACGAAAAAAATACAAGAGTCAGTTTTGTATTTGAAAATATTTAAGACTATTTCTTTTTCAACAGGAAACAGTTCTTTACTGATCAATCATTTATCATTAAACCACTATCCTTCCGAAATGCCTTATCGCTGTGAAACTTGCGGATACAGAACGTCCAGTCACAAAGATGTTATTGATCACTACTACAAAGTTCACGAAAACGGCGAGGGTTTACAATGTCCTTACTGTTTAAAGGTAAAAAAAATTTAAATATTTTCAGGGTTGCCAAAGGTCAGGGAAATCAGGGAATTCAGGGAAAAGTCAGTAATTATTATTAAAAATATAGGAAAGAATTGAATGGTTAGAATTTATAAGGAGATTCTGAATTCTTGTGTCTTTTTGTTTGCCTCACAAACTATGAAATTACCACGAATTCTAAAAAAAAACATTAAATTTTTTTTATTTATGACAACAATTTATTTGAAATATCTTCATTATATTGAAGAGTTAACATAAACTTATAATTTGCTTCAATTTTAAAAATTTTAACGCATTTCTTTGAAAGAATTCAACTATATTAATAAATATTAAAATTATTTCCCGAAATTCCATTATTTTCAAAATTTTTTTTAAAAATTCTCGTCAATTCTCATTTCAATTATATTTATAAATAGCAAAATTCTTCGCCTAAATTCAATTATATTCAGGAATTTCGATCAAATTCATTGCAAAATTTAATTATTTTCATAAATAACAATATTCATCACAAGAATTCAATTATTTTCAAAATTAATAAAATTCTTCGTAAAAATTCAATTATTTCAAAAAATCTAAAAAAAAATTGTCAATATTTCAATTATCTTTATAAATAGCAAAATTCTTCGCTTAAATTTAATTATATTCAGGAATTTTGATCAAATTCATTGCAAAATTGAATTATTTTCATAAATAACAATATTCATCACAAGAATTCAATTATTTTCAAAATTAATAAAATTCTTCGCTAAAATTCAATTATTTTCAAGAAAAATAACAAAAAAATTATCAACATTTCAATTATCTTTATAAATGAATAGCAAAATTCAATCATTTTCAGGAATTTTAATAAAATTCATTGAAAAATTCAATTATTTTCATAAATATATTTCATCATAAAAATTCAATTATTTTCAAAAATTTTAATAAAATTCATAGCAAAATTACATTATTTTCAAATTTTTTTTAAAAAATTCTCGTCAACATTTCAATTATCTTTATAAATAGCAAAATTCTTCACCTAAATTCAATTACATTCAGGAATTTTTATCAAATTCATTGTAAAATTAAATTATTTTCATAAATAACAATATTCATCACAAAAATTCAATTATTTTTAAAATTAATAAAATTATTCGCAAAAATTCAATTATCAAAAAAATGAAATGTTTTAAAATTTGGCATTAAATTCTTCGACAAAATTCAATTATTTTCATAAATATATTTCATCACAAGAATTCAATTATTTTCAAAAATCTTTCTTAATTCAATGATTTTCCATATTCTACTATTTTAATAAAATTTCCCAAAAGAATTCAATTACTAAACACAATTTCAATTATTTAAAATAGAATTTGCATAAATTTTTTTAAAAAAAGTCAAATATTTTCCAATTTGGCATTAAATTCTTCGCAGTAATTCAATTATTTTCATAAATAATAAAACTCATCGTAGAATTTCAATTATTTCATTCTTAAAAAATTTTATTAAAATTAGTCAAAGGAATTCAATTATTTAATAAATTATTTATTTTTGTATTTAAATAATTGAATTCTCGTAGAATTTTGTAATAAAAAATTTGATTTAAAAATTAATTTCAGTTAAAGTTTTGTATAATAATTGAATTTTGGAGAAATTACTAATAATTGGAATTTTGAAAAAGAATTGAATTTTGTAAAGTTCCAAATTAAAATCTTTGAAAATCTGAATTTTTCATACTTTTAATTAATAATTCTCATTTTGCGAGTGAATTAAAATATTCTTTAGAGTCAGGGAAAAAGTTAAAATTTTGTCTGGAAATCAGGGAAAAACAAAATTAAATATTTGTGGCAACCCTGACTTTGATTTAACTTCTCTTTTAATTTAATGATCAAGAAAAATTGTAAAAAATTTTAAAAAATCTCCATTATTGGAAAATAATTATTTGTGCTTTTTTTAAACAGGTGATTCAATTTGTATCTGATGGTGTTGTGAACACGCCAAGTATTCACGGATATCTTCTGCATATGCAAAGGCATATCGTGCGACGAGAAGAGGGTAGGGGCAACAAATGTACAAGATGTTGTCTTTGGTTTAACCAGAGAAGTTCCCTGAAGAATCATCAAATCGAACTTCACGACTATGTGTCTGGTCCAAGTGAGTATTTCACAATAGTTTCGAAAAAAGTATCTTATTTTATTCAAGGTTATTGCAAAAATAGAATTTAAGACAGAGTTTAATTCAACTTTTTTTTTTTTGAATAATTAAAGTTTGCTGAAGTTCCAGTAAAATTTTTTAGGTTTCAATTAATAATTTTTTTTGTTATCTAATAATTTTTGGAGTTAATCAGAATATTCTTTAGAGTCAGGGAAAAATTGAAATTCTGTCTGGAAATAAAAAAAAATGAAAAAGTATTTTTGGAGTGAATCAGAATTTTTTTAAAGTCAGGGAAAAATCGAAATTCTGTCTGGAAATCCAAAAAAATAAAACAGTATCCAAATAGTAGCAAATCGTAAAGAGTTTAGTAAAAAGTAGGTTTTAGTAGATGAGTGTGAAGACTGCAATAGATTAAATTAAAGGTGAACGGAAGATTTATTAAATACTAAATATATATAAATATCTCCTGAATTTCTAGAATTAACTCCTTGGCAGACTAATGCCAAATATTATAACTGCGTTCAAAAATCTAAAAATATTTTCTTAATTTACTTTTTGCAGAGGTCATTCCTTACAAAGGCAGCTCTAATGGAATAATGATAACACGTCAACGACCTCAAGTTAAACGATTCGAAAAAATCAATTTCAATCCCGAAGTTTGTAAAGATGTGAAAAAATGGAATTCCGGTCCAGTTAAAGTCAATCTTCCCAGCAATAGTTTTCCTTGTCAAGAATGCGAGGAAGATATCGATGAAATAGATCATTATCCGTAGGTTTATTTTTATATTTCAAGAAAAAAAATACTTTAAAACTATTTTTTCTTTTTTTGTTGGACATATTTTTTGGAAATAATATTGATTTTAAAATTAATACAGAGGAGAACAGAGATGCCAACAATGTCGATACGTTACATGCTGTTGGCGAGCTTTTAAGGAACATCAACAACAAATTCATAATGAGAGGCCAAAAACAACTCTTGTTGTCCCATCTCCAATGATCAGTATACCACTTGAAAAGAAAATGCAATGTCCATGTAGTTTTGCAACAAACGATGGAAACTTACTAGGTAAGTCGAATTACTGTATATATATATACTTATTTTTATTCTTTTAATTGAGATTAATGACACGTGACCTTCTGACGTCAGTTGATTCATTCAATAAAGTCTTTGTTTGATTTTTAAACCAACAAAGATATATTCTGGCTTCAGAAAATAATAATGTAAAAGAGTAAGAAAATTTTCCAATAGAATACATTTTTTATGAATTTCCCGCAATTATAAATTTAAATATAAAATATTTTTTAAAGCATATAATTGCTAGAAATTATTTTAATATTTGTCTCCTTTTTTATGACTTGTATAAAAAATAAATGTATTTATATTTTAAGCGCAGGCCTCGAATAATAAAACTTTTTCGACTTGTTTTATTTTTTTTTTTTTAAATAAATGTAGTTGAATCTTTTCTTCTAAAGTTTCTTACCATTTTTTGCAAACCTATTTAGAGCATAAAAAATACTTTTGTCCTAAAAATTAAAAAGTAAAAAAGTAAAAAAAAAGTCAATTATCACCCAATAAAAAAATTTTCAAAAACTTAATTTTTTCTGCTACAAAAAAATCTTATTTTTCATAAATTTAAAAATATTGAAAATCGGAAAATGTCTTTAAATTTAAAAAAAAATGAATTTTTGTACTTAAATAATTAAATTCTCAAAGAAATTTCTGAAAATTACTCAAAATAATTAATTTGGGGAATATTTATATTCAGAAACTTTTGGAAAATAATTTACTTTTTTTAAGAGCTATTGTAAAAATTTTTAGAAACTATTAAAATATCAAAATTCTGAATAATTCAATTTTTTAAAAAAATTTCAATTGGAATTTTTTTTATAAATTAGTTGAATTTCTAAAAATATAATTAAATGAAAGATTTTTGAATAATCAAATTTTCGTAAAAATTAATTAAAAACAATTTAATTTTAAATTGAATTTTAACTGAACTTGATTCTTACTTTTTTTAAATAATTCAATTCTAAAAGAATTGAATTAAAATTATAAAAAAATAGTTGAATTAGAGAAGAATATGAGTTAAAAATTTTAGAAACTAATTGAATTTTAGAAGAGTTGTTTTAGAAATATTTAGAAATAATTTAAGTTCAACAGGGTTTAATTTAAAATTTGAATGATTTCAATTTTTGAATAATTTCATATGAAAATTCTAAACAACTTGGTTCTTGAAAAAAAAATTTATTCAAATATTTTTGAAACTGAAAAATTTGTAAATAATCAAAATTTTCTAAAAATTATTTTAAGACAATTGAATTTTAAATTGTATTTTAAGTGAAATTTTTTTACTTTCCTCAATAATTCAATTCAAAAGGAATTGAATGAAAATCATAAAAATAATTAAATCCCCAAAAGTAATTAATTGAAAAATTGTAAAAAAAAGTTTTAAAATAAGTCAAATTGTATCGAAATAAATTTTATATTTTGGGGAATTTGATTACAATTTTTAAAAAAATTTATTTTTAATGAGAAATGTGACAAAAATTGAAAGAATGGTTTGAAAAGAATTAAATTTCCAAAAACTATAAAGAAAAATCTTCTAATGAAAGTATAAAAATAAAAAATAATGAAAATTAGATTCGAAAAGTTACGTTGAAGTATTTTTAAAAAAAATTAATTATTAGAATTTTTTCATTGTAATATTCTTTATACTAATTCAATTATTTTCAATATTTTCAATTCTACATTTCCGAAAATCAAAACATCTGCAAAAAGTAAATGTTACAGTTTTTTAAAAAATTCAATTTTTCACAGTTATTATTAAAATTTTCAAGAAAAGAATCAGTTTCAAAATTTTTAATTAAAATTGTTCAAAAACATTGATTATTCTTTTTAAATTGGTCAAAAATTCTTTTATGAAATACAATTTTTTAAAAATTACCTTACAATATTTTTAAGAATCTAATTCTTCGGATTTTTTTTATTATAACTTTGTAAAATCCAATTATTTAAAAGGAAAAGGTAAATTAAAATTTTTTAAAAATCTGTTTTTTAATTTATTGGTAGAATTCTGAAAAAATCATGTATTTCCATTTTTTATTAAAATTTTTCAAGAAATTGTGTTTTTAAAAATTGTCTAAAAATTCAGAGAATAAAAAGCTTTAAAAACCTTTTCTTTAGCTAAAAATTGTAGAAATTATTTAAATTTTGTAATTTGTATATTTTAGTTGTAATTTTTAGAAATAATCAAATTTCATAAGATGTGAAATTTAAATTAAAAAATTTCGATTCTTAAGAAAAAGTAAATATTTCAATATTTATTGAAGGAAAAAAATTGTAGTTTTGAATAATTAAATTTAGAAATATTTGAAATTTCAGGAAAATACAAAATTAAATTGTCGTGACGAGGAAAAACGAAAACAATCGTTTAATTGTATTCGGTCTTCAATCGACTAAAACGACTTTTTTGCGTCTTAAATTTATCCGAAGCCTATTAACGTTTATTAATTTATCATTGAAAAAACAGACGTCACGACAATCTTAAACGAATATAAATAATTAAACATTAGAAAAATAAGATATTAAAAAATTTTTTCTATTTTCAGCGGCTCACTTGGTGAAATGCAAAAGAATATCTGCATTTCCTGTCGAAAACACAGGACCCTCGGGTATGTTAGACAGTTTGGGTCTCGTTCCAAAAAGTGCATCGGAGGTACGCTAAAATATTCTAAATACTCAATTATCTTGCGAATTAAGTACAAATCAAAGTGAAGAAGATAAAAATAAATTCGCAGCTAATTTGGTCGTGAAAAATATAAATCTCAACTAACAAAAAAAAATCCATTACTGCTTATTTCATATACTTTAATAAATGTTTTATTTTTTATTAAGAAAAAAAAAGGTAACAGGATTACGAATAAATGTTTACAAGTACGTAAAACTTTCCCAAAAATTAATACATACAACTAGTCGAAGAAAATCTATTAAATTGTACTTTTTTGAACTCATAATATTATTTTCTGCAATATGTTTCTTTTTTTTTTGTTTATTATTGTTTTTCGTACTCGTTTCTATAAATAATTATACATTGAGGTGATTGTTTTAGTATATAGTACACAGTGTAAAAGACGATTCATTGTAGAATGATAAAGGAATGATAAGATTGAGGTTCTCGTGAAGCTTACATTTTTGAAATTATATTTACAAAATAACAACTTTTAGAGAAAAAATTTGAAAGTGTATATCTTACCGTGAATGAATGCAAATTTTTGTTTGTTTGTTTGGAAGATTTAAAAACGAAGAATGCAACAGCAATTAAAATAAGTTTAATTTTAATATTACTTTCTAATGTATTCAAAATAAGCTTACGAATTTTTTCGAATTATACTTCTATTAAATGTGTAAATAAATTTTGTCACTATTGTGAATCTAAAGAAATGTAAATTATTTTCCTTTTCCTGATAAGAAAATTTCGGAATAATAAAAAAAAATTCCATTTATACTTAAATAGTTTTTATTACTTATACTAGAGAATGTTACGCGCAATTGTGAGCGAAACGCGGTGATTAATTTATTATTATTATTATGCAATTTTGAATTTTTTTTATTTGCAAATATCAACTTTTATTATTGAACAATTTCAGATTCATTATTTAAAAAAAAATTATTTATTAAGTAAGTAATATTAATATTTTAAAATATTAATAAAATTCTATGAAATAATGCAATTATTTTCGAAAATTTTGGCAAGAATTCAATTATCTTCACAGACAATATAATTTTTCACAAGAATTGAATTATTTTCAATACAATTTAAGTAAAACTCCTAGAAAAGATTTCATTATTTTCAAAAATGTTTATAAAATTCGTCGAAAAAATTCAATTAATTTCAGAAGAATGCAATTATTATTTTCAATTCAAATTCAATAACATTTTTTCATGAAATTCAATTTTTTTAAAATTTTAAATAAAATTCTTTGCACAAATTCAATTATTTTCAATAAAATTTTTTGATGAAATTCAATTATTTTTAAACAAAATTCTCTAGAAGAACTTAATTATTTTCTGCACAATTTCAATGAAATTCCTTGAAAGAATTTCAATTACCTTTGAAAGAATTGAATTTTTATTTTTAGAAATTTTATTATATTTTTATTACCAATAAATAAATAGATAATGTGCTTAGCAGGAAATCAATTGTTTTCAATAAAATTTAAAATTTTTGACAGGAATTCAATTATTTTTATAAATAATAAAAATTCCATTAAATAATTTAATTATTTTTAAAAATTATAATTTTTTGAAAGAATTCAATTCTATTTTTAAAAATTTCTTGATAAAATTTAATTATTGTCAACAATTTTGATAAAATTTTCTAGATGAATTCACTTATTTTTAGAGTAATTTGAATTAAATTTCTCAAAAGAATTAAAATTTTTATATTTGAAACAATTATCATTGTATTTTTACAAATTTTATAATTTTTTTTTAATATTTTCATAAAATACGTAAATAACAAATTTGTATGAATTACAATTTCAATAAAATTTTCTCATGAAATTCAATTTTTTTAAAATTTTAATAAAATTCTTGGTACGAATTAAATTATTTTATAAATAAGAAAATTTTTCAGAGGAATTCAATTATTTTCAATACAATATTAATAAAATTCCTTGATAGTATTCAATTGCTTTAAAAATTTTTTATAAATTTCTTTAGAAGAATTCAATAATTATTTTAAGTACAATTTTAATGAAACTTTTTATTTTTTATTAAATTAACAGAATTTAATTATTTTCAGAAATTTTTAATAAAATTCTTTGAAACAATTGTATCACTTTGTAAAATGAAAAAAATCCTCTTATTAACACAAACTTAAGGAGAATAATATAATTTTTATTTTTTTCCTGTGAGAATATTTTTACAAAACTTATTCTCTGAATAAGTCAATAGTAAATCTGAATTATGTATTAAAAATTTAAATTTATTGAAACAAAAGTGATATTTAAATTTGTGGAATTTAATCTTTTAATTTCAGATACAATAAAGCTAAATAAAAATAAATGAAATCCAGTATTTTTTTATAAAATAAATACCATTAACTGAATTTTGTTGCAATAAAAATCAATTTTTCTACAATAATTTATAAATAACTTTTTTTAAACTATTTTTGTATTTTAGAATATTAAATTACATTTATAAATTATAAATTATAATTTTTAATACTAAACAATTAATTAATTTTTTAGTTTTTAATTTTCAAAGCATTAAATTAGAATTTCATTAATTTAAATTCAAAATAAAAAAGAAATTACCAAAAAATAAAATTAGGAAACAAAAGAGCAAATAAAACAATGAATAGATTACCGGGATACGACGACTATATTGATATTTGCTTTTCTAGGTAAATAAAATGGATAATTTATAATTTTATGGAACCTTTATTTAGCAATTACAATTTTGTGTATGAATAATGTAGCACACGGATTTTAAATTGTGTGTTTTTTTATATATGTATATTTCATATAATGCTAAATGTTGGGTCAGATTGCTCGAGGTTTTTGTTAATTTTTTTCCTTTTACATACACAAGTATCTATAATTCTTTTTGCTCTTGTAATTAATCGAGACAATAAAAATTTATCTCTCGTTATAGACACAAATAAGATATTTTTTTGTTTATTTAAAATTTGCACACCTACTTACACATCTGACCAGCTACAATATTTTTCATATAATATATATCCCCATTTTTTTTGTCATTTTTTTAAAATGTTTTTCATTTTTTTTTTGTTTTTTTAAAATATTTTAATGGTGCCTGTTAATCAAGTCAACACTAAAAGAGCGCATTTATCAGCAAGAACCCTCATTTGTTAATCGATTGGGAATTACCAACTATTTAGACGAAAAAAAAAGAATTAATCAATAATAATTATATCTCTAGCAGCATTAATATAACAATATTCTGTGTGTAGCACTATTTTGACGTAGAAATAAAATACAAAGTTGAAAATATAGACAATTATATAGAATTGTCAAAAATAAGTTTTTAAAAATTCAAACTATTTTTTTGCAAAGAGATTTCCTATATTTAACGAATACTAAGATTAATACTAAGAATCTTCCGTTCGAACTAATTTTAATAAAACAAAAATTGCACTATGTGAGATGACAAAAAAGTTGTTTAAAATTGCAACAAAATTATCCGAAAATATTGGTTATTTTATCTTCTTTTCTTTTTTTTTTTTTTTGTTTAAAAAAGTATCGAACGTATAGAATCTTTAGACCTATGAATACAGTGTATACTTATAAACTAGATTAATAACTATTAAACGTAATGTATGATTAAAATAAGATATGTGGTTAAAACCCAACCTGCCACAATTAACACAGAGACTTTTCGTTAATAAATTTCCTGAATAATTCAACGATTCAGTGCCTTGCCTAGATATTGTGAGGCGGCAATGAGATCGCCAAATATCTCAGAAACACGTGGGAGAAGCTTTGTGAGCATTATAAGATGTTAGAGTAATCTTAACATTGTGTTCAAGAGAATGAATGCCTAATATATCCGCCAAAAGCCCGATAGTACATGTTCTACATATCTGCGACTAAGTACCTTGCCTGCTTGCCTTCTACATCTGCTGAGACTTTTCTCTAAAATTTAACGCCATATTCTTGTTTTAATTTATCATTCTTCCGATAGTGTGATTTTTTTCTTTCTGGTAAAAATAAAATTCTTCTGGTGAAAATAAATTTTTCTCTGGTGAACAAAATTTTCTTTCCGTTGAAAACAAAATTTTTTTGTTGGAAAAAATTGTTTTTCTGATGGAAATAAATTCTTTTCAAGTGAAAATAAATTCTTTTCTGGTGGATATAAATTTGTTAGAATGGTGTGCATTTAACAAAATTATAAAGGTTGAACTGAAAAATCTTCCTGTTGTCTCGTGCTAAAAACTGTTTTTATGGTACCTGAAAGGATAAAATAAAAATAAACGTGAGGATAAATAATCATAAATTGCAAATAAATAAAAAATGTCCATATAGGCAAAATAAAAATTGTCGACCTTGGTAAAACCATATTTTTAGAACATTGAATTGAGAAAAAATATTGTACGGACATTCAAAACAAAAATTGACATTTTCTTTTTATTTACTTTTTTCTTTTCTTGGAAGAAAAATTTGCCTAAAGCTTTGAACGTTTAAATGAACACGAAATATTTTTTTGTGTTACTTGATGTTTGATTTTTTTGTCTCCTAACTTTTCTAATAATATTTATTTTTAAATGCTTTCAATCTTGAGAAGATTTTTATCAAAAAATTTTCAAAATAATTAAATTACTTAGAAAACTGTTATCAAAAGTTTTGAAAATAACTTGAATTCTTTCGAGAAATTTCTTTAAAATTGTAATAAAAATAATATTGAAAAATTTTATTGAAAATAATTGAATTCTCGAGAAGAATTTTATTAAATTTCTTGAAAATTATTTAATTTTTAAAAAGAATTGAATTATTTATAAAAAAATAATTGAATTCATTAATGGAATTTTATAAAAAAATTTTTAAAATAATTGAATTTCATAAAAAAATGTCATTGAAATTGAATTGAAAATATTTGAATTCCTCTGAAAAATTTTATTATTTATTAAAATAATTCAATTCTTGTCAACAATTTTATTAAATTTTTTGAAAATCATTTAATTTTTGAGAAGAATTTAATTATTTATAAAAAAAATAATTTGATTCTTGTGAAAAGTTTTGTTTATAAAAATAATTGAATCTCATCATAAAATATAATTGGAATTAAATTGAAAATAATTGATTTCCTCTGAACAATTTTATTAATTATGAAAATAATTGATTTCTTGCGAAGAATTTTATTATTTTCAAAATTGAATTATTGAGAAGAATTTCATTATTTATAACAAAAATAATTTAATTCTTGTGAAAATTTTTTTCTGTTTATAAAAATAATTGAATTGTTTCGAATAATTTTATTAAAATTTTAGACAATAATTGAATTCTGTCGAAAAATTGTTTAACAAAATCCCAAAAATAATTGAATTTCTTTCGTGAAATTTCTTACAAATTGAATTCAATAAGTGAAATTAGATTAAATTAAATTAAATTAAAATTTTAAATCTGAAATTATTGAAAAATTGAAGTTGATTTTTGAAAATAAAAGTTTTTTTAATCTGCATAATAATAATAAATTGAATACCGCGTAACATTTGGTAATAAAATTTAAATTGAAAGAACTAATAAAAATGTCTCTGCACATTCGAACGTTCGAAACTTTAGAAAAACAAACAAATTGTTTAAGAAGAAAGAATGTTTGAAAAATTTATAAAAAGAAAATGTTTATTTGAAAAAATGGGAAAAATTGTTGAACTTGTAATAAAGTACGAATAATAATAATAATCGTGTATATGCCTTGACCAAGGTCTAAAAATAATGAAGATGGTACCTATTGCGTTAAATTTGAGAGATGGGTGCCGTCTTGAGATAACTACTCAACGGCATAGAGCATGTAGAGATTGCCAGCATCACTGCCTGGCGGAACCAAGGCGTGATTCGGCGGTAGCACCGAGAAGCCCAAGAACATGAAGGTACGCACCAGCATGGCTAAACGATAACAACAAAATGATTTAGAAGATAAAGACGAATGCTCATCATCACATTCAGTTTCATCATCAAATGAATCGAAGAATGAAAATCGACAAGTACCTCGATCTGAACGGTCTTTACGCAGACATACTACGATGCTTGTGCAGTGGAGTGTTTCTTCTGCGTATTCCAATAGAGAGACAAAGCCCTCTTTCGAGCCCTCTGGTAAAAGACAGCTCGGCACACGAATGTAAAGACATTTCCGCCAGATCAGAGTTTCCCATTCCACTGAAGTACTTTCTGTCAGCTGAAGAGCGAAGGTCAGGCGCAGTGACTCGTTTGCTTTTAATGCTTTTAATAATTCATCCTCCTAAAAATTTACAATTCCATTTTTTTTTATTATCGCTTCAATTTATTTAATATAACCTTCAATATCTTCAATTTATTTATTACAACATCCAATATCTTCAATTTATCTTTTATAATCGCAATTTCAGGGATGACAGTGATTTTTTTTTCCTGTAATTGGGGGTAAAAAAGGGATTTTTGATTATTTAGAAAGATATTTTGATTGTTTCTTACTTGCACAATGTGGGAGCTCACAGAGAGCTGACTCTGCTTGATCCCCACGCCGCGGCTCTCTGTGTTGACTGTTGATACAGACAATGCGGCATGGGGCACATCAGGACCACCACAGAGGCCCCACACCCAGCGTTATACAGTAATGAGGCTGCTGTCTAGAGCCTTCTTCGAGACTGTGTTCCACATATTTGCTAGACATTTCGCTGAAAAATATTCCAATCAATTAGTAAACAGAAAAATACAATAAATTAACGAAAACAAAAAGTACCATAAAATAAGTCAAATAAAAAGTACTATAAATTAAAGAAAAGACAAAAATAAATAAAAAGAAAATAAAAGATAGAATAAATTAATAAAAAATATTACAATAAATTAAAAAGTCTATAATAAAAAGCACCATAAAATAAGTAAAATAAAAAGTACAATAAATTTAAAGAGAAGAAAAAATAAATAAAAAGAAAATAAAAGATACAATAAATTAAAAAAAAGAAAAAAATAAATAAAAAGAAAATAAATAATAAAATACAAAAAATAAAATAAAAAGTACAATAAATAATAAAATTTAAAAAAGAAAACAATAAATACAATAAATTACAAAATATAAAAAAGAAAAGAAAAAATACAACAAATTAATTTAAAAAAAAGAAATTCAATTGGTAAATTAAATAAAATCAAAAAATTCAAGAAATAAAATAAAAATACAAAAAAAAAACCACAATAAATACAGTTTTTCTGCAGATATCAAATTGAGACAAAAAAAGAATCAAAAGTGTTGCGAAGCAACGTTTTAATTCATTTTTTGTCTCAATTTGATGTCTGCAGAAAAACTATGTAAAAATATGTACAAAAAATGTAAATTTTACACAAAATCAAAAATCTATTAAACGTTGTATTCCGGTAATCTGTTCGCAGTTTGAAGTTAGTTGTTTGCTTATGTGTTTCTCAACTTTTTAAATAATTTTTCTTGTTAAATTTTTTCAATTTTAAAATTAATGTATTGAAAATCATCGAATTGTTGCAAAGAATTAATTATAAAAAAATTTGATAATAATTGAATTTTTTCGAAGAATTTTATTATTTAGGAAAATAATTGAATTCTCGTAAAGAATTTTGTTAAAATTATTGAAAATTCTAATTAAATACTTTTTGAAGAATTTCTTTGAATTTTTTTTTAATAATGGAGTTTCTTTAATAATTTTAAATAAAAATTTTAAAGATAATTGAATTTTATGAACAATTTCTTTCAAGTTTGTAAAATAATCTTGTTTGTTAATAATTGAAATTAAACATTTAATTATTGAATTTTATTAAAATTTTAGAAAATAATTGAATTCATTTGAAAAATTTTATAACGAATTAAGAAAAAAATTGAATTCATTGCTGAAATTTTTTTAAAAATTATTGAATTTGTGCGAAGAATTTTACTATTTATAAATAGAATTGAATTGTTTCGAAAGATTTATTAAAAATTTAAAATTGTATAAAATAATTGAATTTTTCGAAAAAAATTATTAAAAATTAAAAAAAAATTGAATTCTTTTATGAAATTTTATTAAAATTGTATTAAAAATAATTGAAGTTTTGCAAAAAAAATTTACTATTTATAAATATAATTGAATTTTTTCGAAGAATTTATTAAAATTTTAGAAAATAATCGAATTTCAATGAAATTTTTCATTAAAACGAATTAAAAAAAAAATTGAATTCTTTCGTAAAATTGTTAAGAATGTAATTAAATTTTTGCAAAAAAATTTACTATTTCTAATTATAATTGAATTGTTTCCAAGGATTTAAAAATTTTTTTTTAAATAATTGAATTTTATTGAAATTTTTAATAAGGAATTAAAAAAAAAAGTGAATTCTTTCATGAAATGTTATTAAAATATTGTATTAAAAATAATTGAATCCTTAAGAAGAATTTTATTATTTATGAAAAAAATTGAATTCTTGGGAAGAATTTTGTCAAAAAATTTGAAAATAATTGAATTCTTTCGCAGAATTTTATTATTTATGAAAATAATTGATTTCTTGAGAAAAATTTTATTAAAATTTTTAAAAATCCTAATTAAATTCTTTTGAAGAATTTCTTTGATTTTTTTTTTTAAATAATGGAGTTTTTTTAATTATTTTAATTGAAAATTGTGAAAGTAATTTAATTTTATGAACAATTTATGAAAAAAATTGAATTCTTGACAAGAATTTGTTTCAAATTTTTAAATATAATTGAAATCCAGCGAAGAATTAAATTATTTATGAAAAAATTGAATTCTTGACAAGAATTTGTTTCAAATTTTTGAAAATAATAATTGAAATTCTCCGAGAAATTTTATTATTAATGAAATTATTTGAAATCTTCCAAAGACTTTAATTTTTTTTGGTGATAATTAAATTGATAATTGAATTTTTAAGAAGAATTTTTTTAAATAATTGAAATCTTTTGTAAAATTTTATTACTTATGAAAATAATTGAAATCTTGCAAAGCTTTTTATAAAAAATTTTTATATAATTTTTTCGATGAAAATTTAAATTATTTGTAGGAATTTAGTTAAGATTGTATTGGAAATAATTGAATATTTAGGAAAACTTTTATTAAAATTTTAGAAAATAATTCAATTCTTTTGTAAAATTTTACATCGAATTAAGAAAAAAAATTGAATTCTTTCGTGAAATTTTATTGATTTTTGCAAAGATTTTACTATTTTAAAAAACAATTGAATTGTTTCGAAGGTTTTATTAAAATTTTGTTGAAAAGAATTGAATTTTTACAATAAATTCTATTATTTATAAAAATAACTGAATTCTTCCAAAGAATTTTATTATTTATGAAAATAATTGAATTCTTCCGAAATTATAAAATATAAGAAAGAAAATAAAAAATACAATAAATTACTTAAAAAAAGAAATGCAATAGGTAAATTAAATAAAATTAAAAAAAATACAAGAAATATGTAAAATAAAAATACATTAAATACAGTTTTTCTACAGATATCAAATTGAGACAAAAAAGGAATCAAAAGTGTTGCCTCGCAACACTTTTGATTCCTTTTTTGTCTCAATTTGATATCTGCAGAAAAACCCGTGTAAAAATACATACAAAAAATATAAATTTTATACAAAATCCAAAAATATTTTCACAAAACTTGAACTTTTTTTTTAACACCTATACAAAAAGCCGGACTCTTTACCGCAGTTTATCATTATTCAAAATTCAAAGTTCAAATGAAAGGAAAAATGACTTTTAATGGCTTCACCTATCTATGTTTACTTTTCGTTATGTAGTTTCTCTCTTCTATAACTGAACACTTCGTAATCAATAGTTTTACGCCAGCAGTTTTTTTTTCTCTCTTTTTTTTAATATGTATAAGAAATAATATAATTCATTTATAAGGTTAAAAGAATCCTGAGAAATGATAAAATCGTGAGATAAAGAACTGATGACTATACAGTACACTTTCAAATAATCATTTGTGAATTATAAATAAATTATAATACAATATTCCAGTCTAATATACATTCGGAATTCCCTGCCAAGAGAGTTTAACCAGAGTTCAAGTGTAAATCCATTTTTTGAGGTCAAGGCTTTAAAAACATTTTAAGAAAAAAAATAATAAATAAATAAAATAATTGAACAAGCGAAACTTATATTAAATATCAAAAGGCAGTTTTAAAATGGTACATACTTTTCATTAATTTACGCGCATATATATAAAACATAAAAGTTGTAACAGTTCAAAAGAAATTAAATTATAAAGAAGTGTCGTAAAATCAGGTCTCGAATCGACTTTGATGCGCAAAAAAAAAATTGCGTCAAGTGATTGAAGATACGAAAAGTCGTTTATTTCATTCAGTGTTGTCACATAAATTTCATTTTTTATTTTGAAATTTGTTTCTTGAAATTTCAATTATTTTTTAATTTAAATTTAAATTTAACTATTAAAAAATTTTAATTTTTTGTGTTTAACAAAAGATTTTAATTTTTTGTTAAAAAAATAAAAAGTATTCATTCATTTTGAAAAGAATTTCAGAAGAATATTGAAAAATAATCAAACTTTTTTGAACTTTAAGTTATAAATATTAAAAATACACGATTTTTCCAAATTTTTAACAAAAAATCTAAAAAAATCGTAGATTTTTAAAAGAATTTTGATTAAAAATTGTGAAAATGAGTATTTTTTCGAAAACTTTAATAATAATAGTAAGAAATTATAAATTTTCCAAAAAACTGTTATTTATTTTATGTAAATGTTTCAATTTTTTAAAAAATACAAAATAAAATTGAAAATATGGAAAATAATTTAATTAAAAAAATTCTCCGAGAATTACTTTCTCAAAAAATAAGTTAAGTTAATATAATTTTTTGAAGCTAATTTTCATAAATTTTCATATTTTTATTTGAACATTTTCCATTAACATTTTTTAAGCAATTTAATTTTTTTAAAAAAATTTTGGAGGAATATTAAAAAACAATCAAGATTTTGAGAACTTTTAGTACAAAATATTGAAACTACTCGATTTTTCCAAATTTTGAACAAAAAATTTAATTTTTTTTGAAGAATTTTGATTAAAACTTTTGAAAATGAGTATTTTTTCGAAAATTTTAATAATTATTATAAGAAATTAAAGATTTTTCAAAAAACTATGATTTTTTTTTGTTAATATGTGAATTTTTGGAAATGTACAAAATAAAACTGAAAATAATTGAATTAAAAAAATTCTGAGAATTACTTTCTTAAAAAATAATTTAATTTAATTTTTTGAAGTGATAAAATTGAAAATAATTGCGAATTAAAAAAATTCTGGGAAATACTTTCTTAGAAAATAATTTAATATATAATTTTTTGAAGCTAATTTTCCTTAATTTTAATTTTCATATTTTTATTAAAATTCTTTAAAATTCAATTATTTTCCAAATTTACATTTAAATTTCTTAAAAGTCTAATTTTTTTTAATTTTATCCGAATTGAAAGAATTAGTTCTTTTTCACAAAATTTTATGCAAAATTTCAACTATTTAAAGTTTTTAATTCTATTATACGTTTATTTTGTTTTATTTTACATAATTATTTTCCATATTTTTTTTATTATTTTCTATTAAAATTTAATTATCTTAGAAAAAAACTCCACTATAAAAA